CTTGCTCCGAGAACGGGGCAAGTTGTACCTGGCGTGGTGTGGGGAAAGTAATAATAAAATAATAAAACGAGATTTTTGTATGATTTCTAATCATTTATTGTAAATCCATATAGAAAATATTCTTTATAACATATTGACTTGAATTTTTTACAATAATTTAATATTTATAATCTTTAATATAATTATTACAAACTCAATTCAAAAAGACATTGTAGTAGTAACTTGGAGTCGAACTTTATGAACTTAATTTTCTTACGGAACCGGGAAAAATAGTACACCTTCTCACAACCACTTGTTGCGCTTTTTCGCGCTTCACTGATTGTGTTTACGTCATGGGCCCCGTTATAAAGGGCAGGTTAAGTGTAAATTGAACACAAAATATTTGCAACCTGCCAAGTAATGAAGCTGTTACTACTAGCCTTCTGCTTTCTTATGCAAAGATTTCAAAAACTATATTATTTAATTTTTCATGTAAGTATGTTTTTAGAAGTGTCTTAATGATCATTACGTTGGCCAAATTAACATTAAATGATTTATCAGAGTCAATAATGTTCTATACGAACACCTGAGTGTGTCAAACTATCGATTATTGTATTCTCTGTTACTACTGGATTCTTTTGGTTACTCAGTAAACCTAACATAATATAATATTTTCAATTTAATATATTTTTAATTATGACAATTTGATCACAGTAAAGTAGATGAAAAAATTCGCTATCGTTGCCTCCATCTTCGATCGAATGAAATCAATATCCTTTCAAAACGTAAAAATATGACAAAAATTTTGAATGCTTGAAATCGCATCCACTACAATAACTTGCTAATAAAAATTTGAAAATATGATATTTCATTTTATTATTTTAAACATTGGAGTTCTCTTATTTCAATATTTGCATTATATTTCTCCTTTAAACATAATTGATACTTTTATCTTTTGATACTATTCCACTCTTTCTGTTTACAATCATGTTCATATACCTTATTTTACGATGGTTTACGTAGGTCTAGATGATATTCTGTTTAATGTTGAAAAATGATTCGAAGATCTTTATTCAACCCCGAGACTAAATTTAAAGTTCAGTTTCAACTTCAAAATCTTCGATTTCTTTGATGTTCCAATTGCCGCCAATAATTTAATTCCATTTTGGAAATCATCAATCTCATTACAGATTTTGATGTCTTAAACTGATCTAAAAATCTTACTTTGGTCATCAATGTCATCATAAAGTTCTATAACATTGCTTGTATGGCATTGATACATTTCTGAGGTTCAAAATAAATTTTGTAAGATCTATTTTTAACCTCAACTTTGTTAAAGAGGACGAAACAACAAAATTGAAGTCGAAAATGGGCTTAGATTATATGTATGATGATATACTCTCTACAACTGAATCAGTGAAAACTACTGTGATTCAGTGAATATTCACTGATTCGCAGTAGTTTTTTCTGATTTAGTTTAAAAAAGTACTTGTAATTCGAATTTCAACTTCTAAGTTGTAATTCTAGACTGAAGTTAAAAAAAAATATTATAAATTCTATTTCGGTACTGCATCTAATTGAAGGTTGAATTTGCTTTCCATGCCTTCCAAATTGCAGTAAAGATATTAAGTTCTGTGACCTTTTAAAACTTTCAACTCTCACTTGAACCACAAGGACACATTCAGTCAATATTTGCTATCATAGAGCCGGAAGAGATAGTCTCGATAAATTTTGACAGTTTAGACATTGAGTCCCATTCTCATCCCTCTTGTAATTTTTCGTTGGTTGGAAGAATAAAGGATCATAAACTACAGCTGTCGTGATTCATCTCTTATCATTTTACCTATTTCATTTTTACCGCTATCCAATGACCTGAAATTTTAAACGTATCCTAATAGACCATAAATAATAGTCCTCTCTTATCAACAATAATGATGATAGTAGCATAGTAGAATGTAGAAAATTATTAATGTTGATATAGCTATTTTTTAAAAAATATTGCAGCCATTTTCCATCATCCAATCTAATCTCGTGGGTCTTTGCACGTAAACTGCTTGGCAGTAAAGGGGTCACCACGTGTGAAACTAGCCATGACTGCATACCCACACATGATTATACTCCACCCCCCCAACTCGCGAGTCAATAGCAAAAGTCAAACACAAGTAGCAAGAATTTTATCGTTACGTTACCATGGTAATTATATGGTAGATGCCGATAGTCAATAGGTAGATTTGTTCAGGTAAAAGTAGTATTTGCTTGTATTTTACTATCGATTCTCTGTTCAAAATCTCCTCTTTATCAAGAACTTCTGTACTTCATAATTTCTTTTCTATTTTAGACATATGATGGAGAGAGAACTTTTATTGATAATAGCTTTACCTGAAAATGTGGAAAATACACAGTGAAAACAAACCTTCATGTTGCTATAGAATGTATTGAAATTTTTAAACACCAATATTGCAGAGGAAAAATTCGTTGAGCTACAATAGATTTTGAGATGAAAATTAGAACCAATAAGATAAAAAACTCGTAATAAGAAAGTAGCATTAATGGAATATATTCTATATGGAATAAAAATGAAATTTTATAAAGTGACTAATCAAAGTAATTTAAATAAATTTATTTTATTTGTTTTTCTATAGATATTAAAATTTTCTTTATTTTATATCGGCAACTTTTTTGTGTGTTCATAAGTAGGCAAAAAAATTAATATTCCACAAGAGTTGTGCATACGGAATCTCTGAGAGTAATACTCCCAAATAGAACATAGATACGAGGAGAAGGCTGACATGAAGCATCAGGGAAGAAAGGAAGAAGGATGACAAGCCTTTTATAATTACTTGAATAATTTTTAGTATCTTGTCAAATATTCGGTGAGAAATGACTGAAATTTCATGCAATGAATAATGAGTTTAAAAAATATTATTCTGGTTATTTTACTGAAAAATATAAATAAATAATATTCTCAACGTGAATTTAAATAATCGGGTCATCTTAATCATGAGAATAAATCAATGCTTCAAAATATATTAGATTTTGAATACATTAAGGATGTACGAGCGTTAATTTTTTCACAGTAGGAATTTTGAAATTTCGATTCCTTTTTTTTTCTAAATTTTAAGAAAACTTCAGCACAAGAAATTAATATTTTTTTTTAATTTAAAATGAATTTTTTTACCGAGGCTCTAACTGCATCATTTAAAAGTGGGATTTTCCCATCCGCATTTTACGGTTCTTAGAAATGTTACTTTCTAACCTCACCCACATCTTTTTATTTGGAATGCATGACTAGAAAATTTTACTTTTTACCATTACCCCCACCCCTCTCACCCAAAGACGAGCTCTGATTGGTTCGGAGATACATCACCAAAATGAATAACTCCGGGCTACCAAAGCCAAGAGTTTCATACAACTCCAATCCTCTGCGAGCGAAGCAACATGGACGCTTTAGCCAGCTTTGATCTTACGAGCGTCTTGCCAATTGAGGTTTGTCAACTGATCTTTCGGCACTTAGACGGTAAGTCTCTAATAAGTGCAGCGAGAGTTTCCAAATCCTGGAATGAGGTTTGCGAGAGCGATGGGAGGCTCAGGGAGACTGGCCGGCGGCACCTGAAGAAGGAGCAGACTCGGATGTTTGAGGTAGCTATCCGGGTATTCGGGAACAGCGGGCAGAAAAGAGTCGTTTCGCGACGACTACTGTCTGCCGCTTCGGTAATGTATAGTTATAGGTTAACCCCAGCTCTTGGCAGCCTGGATCGATCCTCTGACAGGTTCAACCCGCTGCCTTTAGGCCGTAGGGGGTTGAGAAGGGTTAACTAGGAACTTGGGGACTAGGTTAAAGTAGGTTAAGCAGACGACTGCCTAATGGCAGGAATCGAAATTGCCCTCTCTGAGGGCAAAAATTTTTTAATCTTTTCACACTCTTGGACTTTACTCCTTTGTTTGGGGGGAAACGTTGTATAACGCAGATAATTAATTTTGCAAATTTCCCGCATAATTAAAAACAACTAATAAGGAAAAAGTAACTCATTTTTTCGATATGTTTCGATTATTAGCTAACTTCACATGTTCATGTAAATTAATAGATAGGAGAATTTAATTTCATCGAAAGATGAGTTGTTTCAACGGTGATCAATGGAATTCATTATACAAAATACATTTGCACTATTGAAAAAATATCACGGAAATGAATAAAAATATGACGAACAAGGTAGGAGTAGGGGCGGGGGAGTAAAATTTGAAGAAATATTAGCAATAAAAACAAGAATTTTTACGAAGTTTTTTTGTTTTTATTTTTGATTTATTTTCTCATCAATGATCTAAATATGACCCCCCCCCCGCCCCTCTCCCGCAACTTTTCTTACTAAGTCTGCATTTACCTATTACGTCGTAGTACAAATCTAATAAAATATCATGTGATCTCCATAAGAAATTCTTGCTGAAATTCTTATAAAAATTTTTATTATAAAAAATGAATCGAATATCAAAATTTTAAAAAATTCTACTATGAAAAAATTAACGCTCGTACATCCTTAATAGTGTTAACACTATGTAGAAATTTCTACATCCTTTTTTGGACTTATATGTATAATGATTAAATTCACTGGAATCATTTAGATATTAGGGGTGATAAAATGAAAACAGTTTGTTCCGGAGCAAATACACATACAATGAATAAACTACTAACGTTGGACGATTAAGGGACAAAAAACATAGTTATTTTATAATTAAGTGCTCTTATTTTTTTGTGTAGAATTAACTTCTTCTGTTATCAAAAAATATTCTTTATTATAAAAATTAAGTAATATTAACTAAATGTCAGAATCTGAATGGAAGAAGTTAAGATTGAGGCATAAATAGGATCAATTAATTTAAGATCTAATAAAACATTAACAGTCATTAAATCATAAAAATTCTTATTCTTATTATGTAATTAATTGCTATATAATTTGATTAAAATCTGAATCAGCTTTAAGAGAAGATTATTCAACTAAAATTATTAGAATTTTTTATGTAAAAAGTTTTCAACCCAGTGTTAATCCATGCCTTTATTTCAAATTCAAGGATTCAGTTTTTTTCATTTGAAGCTTATTATCTAATTCATAATGACAATTCAACTAATTACAGATGCTAGCTCATTTAATTTTTATTAATATTTTCTCATTGCTATCAGTAAAATACTTCAATAAAAATATATAAATAAAATTCAAAGCTCCAATTAGTCATTTAATCTCATCACAAGTTGTTCATTATGCTAAAATTAATTATACTTTTATTTCACTTACTTACAAAAAAGTTGATAAGTATCTCATGTTCCATTTTGTCATGAGCTTTATCGATTACATCCAGACAGTTTAATATAATTATCACTATTAATCCATTACTTGATATTTCTCAGAAATCATATCATGGGTCAAAGAGATGTAGAAAGTCACCAGAAAACCATTAAATTATTACAGATTTATAGTTCTTAGAAGATAATTTCTGATGTGAAAGAACAAATTGATAATTTTACTTAGATCAATAATTAATATCGAAATGAAGTTAATTTATCTAGTCAACAATATTCATATAAATATATATATTTATATATTCTACACTTCAGCAGAAAACGATTTTACGACAAATCTGAGAAAAAATAACTTCTTCGAACTTCAAGAGATAAAACATCAAATTTGTATCCAAGCGAAAAACCAATTAGACCAAAGTTCATTTTTTGTTCTTCTTTTTATGGATACTTATTTTAGGCGCCGTTATGGTTATCTTGAATTCTATAAAACGTAGTGCCGCACAATTAACCGACATGCATGCTTCCATCTTGCAGAACACACGTGCACATTTCCCCTTGGATAAATCCATGCTCGCTTTAAGCCCTAAAGTTAAAGGGATCTACTTTATGTACTTAAGACACTTTTTTGCATACATCATATGATTACAAAGTAGTTTAAGAGCCTAAAGACTAGACGTAAGGACGCAGATATGTTGTCTCCATACCTAGATTACTCATATTATATAATGTATGTAATAATTCTTTACGCATGTGGTAAGCTTACTACTTGCTTAATCTTGAAGCATACATAAGTGGCATAGAAGATGTAGCATTCCCACGTTTCTTGATGTAGTAGGCAGATTTCGATAAGAAGATATTTGTTTTAGATCATCAGTTAGAGTTGCTCTATTGGATGTGGAATTTATTCAAAACTAATACTGAACTAATTGTAAGCATTGTTATCGTTTCAATGGATTTAAATGATTTCTTGAGATAATGACTAATCTTGTAGATTTTTCTACCAAATATAAATTAAGTTAAGATTTAATTTTTTGATTCTGCCAAACCCATTTTAATCGGTGCCGAGAGAGATTATCTATTAGTTATAATTTTAAGTAATAACTATAAGAGTTTGCTGTGCAAGAACTCATGGAATAATATAGTATGGACAATAAAAAACCTAGTTTAAAAACAGTGGAACAAACAACAAAGACAATATCGACGTTTAAGAAAGATTGATAACACCTATGAAGTGAAAGAAGTAAAGGGCCAAAACATGATAGAAATAATTTTGACATGAGGCAATATGTAAAAATTTTATAATTTAATAGGATAGAAATAGAACTTTCGACCATTTAAATTAAAAGTTATCTAGGAGAAATATAATTAGGCTTCGAATAGTCATCGCCACCGTTTAGAAAAAATTGAGTAGTTTCAGTTGTAGGTTCTTGAGTTGTAGTTTCAGTTGTTGTAGGTTCTTGAGTTGTAGTTTCAGTCGTAGTTTCGGTTGTTGTAGTTTCAGTTGTTGTAGGTACTTGAGTTGTAGTTTCGGTTGTAGTTTCAGTTGTTGTAGTTTCAGTCGTAGTTTCAGTTGTTGTAGGCTCTTGAGTTGTAGTTTCAGTTGTTGTAGGTTCTTGAGTTGTAGTTTCAGTTGTTGTAGGTTCTTGAGTTGTAGTTTCAGTTGTTGTAGGCTCTTGAGTTGTAGTTTCAGTTGTTGTAGGCTCTTGAGTTGTAGTTTCAGTTGTTGTAGGTACTTGAGTTGTAGTTTCAGTTGTTGTAGGCTCTTGAGTTGTAGTTTCGGTTGTAGTTTCAGTTGTTGTAGTTTCAGTCGTAGTTTCAGTTGTTGTAGGCTCTTGAGTTGTTTCGGTTGTTGTAGGCTCTTGAGTTGTAGTTTCGGTTGTAGTTTCAGTTGTTGTAGTTTCAGTCGTAGTTTCAGTTGTTGTAGGCTCTTGAGTTGTTTCGGTTGTTGTAGGTACTTGAGTTGTAGGTTCTTGAGTTGTAGTTTTAGTTGTTGTAGGTACTTGAGTTGTAGGTTCTTGAGTTGTAGTTTTAGTTGTTGTAGGCTCTTGAGTTGTAGTTTCAGTTGTTGTAGGTTCTTGAGTTGTAGTTTTAGTTGTTGTAGGCTCTTGAGTTGTAGTTTCAGTTGTTGTAGGTTCTTGAGTTGTAGTTTCAGTTGTTGTAGGCTCTTGAGTTGTAGTTTCGGTTGTAGTTTCAGTCGTAGTTTCAGTTGTTGTAGGCTCTTGAGTTGTTTCGGTTGTTGTAGGTACTTGAGTTGTAGGTTCTTGAGTTGTAGTTTTAGTCGTTGTAGGCTCTTGAGTTGTAGTTTCAGTTGTTGTACGTTCTTGAGTTGTAGTTTCAGTTGTTGTAGTTTCAGTCGTAGTTTCAGTTGTTGTAGGCTCTTGAGTTGTTTCGGTTGTTGTAGGTACTTGAGTTGTAGTTTCGGTTGTTCCAATTTCTGGAGTCGTACTTGGATGAGATAGGTTTTCACAGAGTTCCACGCGCTTAACATAATTATTATCATTATATTATTAAGCATAATAAAAATCCTCAATTGTAATAAAGGTAAAAGACCTAGTCCATTTATACTATGAAAATATTCAAAAATTGATTTACCTTTTCCATACGGTTGGCAAGACTTATCGCTTCTTTAGCAACGTGGGCAAGTTTTTCTGCGAATTCTTTGTCATTAATTGGTTTCGCATCTATCTGAATGATAAGAAATATTTGTAATTCTACATTGATTATAAATTCAAATTAACTATTCAATAAGAATATTGTTTAGTACATCCTTTAAGGGCCTTACCTTCGATGACCCTGAAATTTTAGTATATTTTCAAGGTAATTATGTTCATTAATTTAATATGTGTACATGGGACGTGTTAAACATTTCTCTACATAGTTTTTTTATATTAGAAGTTTTAATAGATACATTGATTTCTTTCCGTCGTATTTTTTTTATAGTAGCTTTGTTCAATGATAATGACGTTACCATTTGAAAAATTTCTGCAACACCTAGTCGTATTTGTTTAAATTTGTCTGTACGGAGAGAATTTCTTCACCAATGTGCAAAAATGACAAATGCACATTTTGAAATCAACTCCTAAGAACTCAAAATTTTTAGTTAAATAGAAATATTTTCACTTCTTAATTTCGAAACGTGGACTTGTCACTTTCTGCACTTACATTCAGAGAAAAAATTCTGTCCTTGTACAACACAATAAAATTCAAGGGTTATAGGAGGTGTGGCCGTTCAATGATACAATTACCGATAATTATCACTCATTGATTCAAAATTATTAATTCATTATTTAATAAATTTATCTTACTTGTGATGATCCACAAATGACAAGAATCGAAAGAATGATCAGAAAGTGCATCTTTAATTCTAATATTATCGATACTGAAAAAATAAACTAGTCAACTCGTGATGAGGACTAGAATCTTATAAATTTTAGTTACTCTTAATCACAACTGAATCAATATTTATACTCCCAGTTCTAGATATATCCAATTTTTTCGATAAAAATATTTAATTTTTTATCGAACATTTCATTATAAGAAATATGATAACGAAAAGTAGAACACACAATTAGCTACCTACCAATATTTTTTCATTACTCAGGTGAGAATACCACTTATAATCAATTAATTTCTCATGATTTAAAATATGATAATATTCAAAGCTGTTCAAAATGTTGTTAAGTAACTCAGAGAATTGTATAAAATGATATTCATATTTTTCTATTTTTGTCAATTGTTGGTAAATTTTTGTTGGTTTATAAATTTAAGATTGTAAAGCTTTTGTACACAACATTTCAAAAAAATTAGATAAATATGCCTAATTAAAAATTCACGAATGTGCTATTTAATTATTTATATGAAATAATTATTTTTGTGACAAATACAAAAATTTACTATCTTTTACAGACCATATTTTTTTTAAATAATCTCATACATAAAAAATTTTGTTTATGATTTTTTTATTATCTTTACACTGTAAATTTTAGTGTTTTTAAAATGAAACACTATAATGTTTACAGGGTAAACATGTTTAGAAATGATTGTCAAGTTTTAAAGCTTATTACATCTATGGATTGGATAAATCGTATAGGATGTAGGGTATATGATGAAAATAAATATGCCTTTTTTGCAAGTTAAATTTTATTATTATAAATTCACTATTTTGAATTTTGTTTTTCATCGTAAAAATACTATGCTCGATGACTTACTTCATCATCAGTCACCTAGAGGAGATACAATCGAATTACGACTTTCATCGAATAGAAAAAGTGGTTGTAAATTTCTGGAAGTCGCAGGAGGACGAGTTGGTTCAGGGGTTGTAGGTTCCATAGATGGAGGTGGTCGTGTAGGTTCTGGAGTTGTAGGTGGTCGCGTTGGGTCAGGAGTCGTGGGTGGTAAAGATATTGCCTCACACTTTTCCAATCGCTGAAAAGAAGAATTATGATACCATTATTGAAATATAATGCTTTTATCAAAATAACACTTAAAATTTTTCCATAAAACAGTCCATGTTTTTTGTTATCATCAAAAAGCATTTGTTTTTCTGACTTAATCAACTTCACTTTTCACTTGTCTACTTTGTCCTTTTTCTCAAATCATATTTTCTTTATTTACTATGAAAAATAATCTACGAATAAAAAAAAAATCATGAAGTTATCAGAACATATTCGAATACTGGCTTACTGCTTCTAAACGGTGCGCTAAATTTGTTGCGTCTTCAGCAATGTTAAGAAGTTTTTCTGCAAATTCTCTATCATCAAGTGGTTTTGCATTAATCTATATAATAAGAAAGAGTTGCCATTATTTCTTGAATAAAAATTCTAAAAAATTATCTAATAAGCTGATCTTACCTGTGAATATCCACAGATGAGAAAAATCGAAAGAATGATTTGAAAATGCATCTTGATATTCAAATTATTCAAATATAATTGTGTCTATTGCTTTGAATAAAAAGAAAATTCAACTACTGTTGAGGAATTTTGATATCATCTTTTTATGGATTTGGACCCCTCTATTTTAAACCGTACCTCGCAATTACCATAAATAATTAATATTAATTTTTTTGATAACAAAATAATGAATTGATAATCATGTAATTTAACAACCTATAATCGCAATTGAATCAACAGATATACTTTCAGTTCTCAAGATAATTAATTGTTTCGATCATGACATTTAACATTTAAAGGTATATTCTCTTCATACTACATGTTATTTTATTAACAAATAATTATTATTACCAAAATTATTTAAATAATTGAAAGAATTATTAAAAAATTCTTATGATTTTAAGACAACGGTTTAAATATTCTAATAAACTATTATATCCTTTAGAATAATAACTAAAAGAAAATTAAAAAAAAAAAGCTCTTTAACAATATAAAACGATGACCAAATTGTGGTTTTACAGCACATGTTATAAAATCAATTTCCTAACACAGAAAGTGAATAGGTTTAAACAATTTATTGTAGACTTACACTACAAATCCAAGTGTGTTATTTTTGCAGACACTTTTAACACACTAAACCACTTCGATGTTAAATGCCGTAAACAAACTATAGATTTTAACATACTATGAAATGTGTAAAAAGTGTCTACAAATCATCTATAGTTAACTTATGGACATTTTACATTTAACACACTTTATGTGTGTGATTTTAACACGTTTATGAAATATTGGAATTTTTAGCGATACAAACGTGCAGGTTGACTTATCGTTCAAGATTGATTTTAGCTATGGAAGGAAGGATTTTTATATCAGGGATAGTTAAGGAAAAGGGTAAGCATCTTGTGACGCAGAGAGTTTGTTCGGTAAAGTTTTGTGACAGGATATGAAAAAAAAAGGGATGTAAGGAACTTTGGAAAATGTGAATTTTTACATATTTTATCTTAACTAACGTACATATATTTCCTAGTCTAAGTTTTGAGGGTTTATTACACGCATATAGGATGTATGAAGGTCGAAGAAAAATAGCTTGTAGATATATATGTATATTTTTTTTATAAAAAAAAAAATGAAACGAAGGAAAATAAATGATCATAAAATTAAATCTTGAAAAAAGAATTTTACAGTATTTTAATGTTACTAACAAATACGAGTTAACTAGAAGAATTTTACAGCCATATAAAATTTTATTGAACTTGATATCGAAACATTATCAGTTCAAATCGTAAAGATTCCTTTTTTGATGACATATTAATAGAAACACGATAGCAAGCATCTAAATCATTGAAATTAACGATCATCTGAAGCAGAGAGAAGAAATTACAATCAAGTAGAGCAATCATGAATACTTAAGCAATTATAATTCATTGCTATCGCACAAATATCTTCTGAATGTACTCCGGCTATCGTCCTTCTTATTTTTTTTAAAGACTTTTAATAAATACTTCACATTTTTCTAATGAAATTTCACAATAAAAACAGGAAAAACTGCAATAAATACACAATCATTTTATAATCAATTAATTTTTTTATTTTTCTTATTTCTACAAACGAAATGTACTATTTATTTGCATTGAAATATTTAAACAACTAAATAAATATACTAAGTACGAAAAAGTATTAACATATCAATATATATAAACGCTTTAATATTTTTATCTATATTTTCTAATCTAACAAACACTTTCTTTATTAATATTATGCTAAAATTATTAGATGAAAATTTATCTCTCTTGTTTCCTTATCATTATTTGTATAATATATTCATTCGATAAGTTTATTATTAGCTGATGTTATTATTAAAAGAGTACTCGAATTACATTTATGTATCTCGAAACATTCAGGACTCAAAACATGGCCCAAAAATTATTATGTATAATAGAGAACAGAAAGAGGTAGGAAAAAAGCTGCAATATTCTGTCATGGAATGATGTCATGGAGTTTCATGATACTCAACACCTAATCATGCCGAGATCACATGTGTAGTTTAATACTTACTACTACAGTCACATTCGTACTAAAGACCAAACATCTTAAAGTTAAATCTCTTAAATTTTTTTCACTGGCGCCTCAAATATTATATTATGAACTAATTGGTCATTATAAACATTAGCTAATTTTACATTTTTGGCTATTTCCAACATTCTTGCTTGATGAAACAAACAAGAATGTCACATTCATCCTTAAATATATATTCATATATAAACCTTTTTGTTCGTTATTAATTGTCGTATTAGGAATGACTGTTTGAATTTGTAACAGCTTCACCAATAATTAGGCCAACTTCCTGCTACATATCGATGGGTTGCAATGTGATATGGAGTGTTGACAGGAGGATGGTTGACTTGAGTTGATTCATGTGAATGATGAGCTCCTGATATGTATTGAACTGATGGTAAAGGTGGTTGGAGTTCATGATATCGAATCATATCTTGAGGTCGATCTTCCCAGGAAGCTTCGGCTAGTGAATCTGGACAAAATCTTTTACTTGATCTTTCAGAGTCCTCATCATTTCTAGAAAACAAAGTGATGACATAAATATATGAGTTGATGACAAATTTGACCAATCAAATATATTTTAAACTTTTATAATATTTTTTTAAAAAATGGGCTGTAAGATTTACAAAATTATCAGAAATATTTTTTTGAATTTAATTTAATGCTTCTCTTCTGCTGTAATTGTTTCAATCATAATTATTTTGAATAAATTGTTAAAACTTCAGGAATACTTAACTACACTATTATTAGAGCAAGTAAAAAATTAACCTTGAAATTGAAACATTTCCATTGTTTTGAAAATGGTTCTATAAATTAAATATAAATATGATCAATTCATCATTATTTTATTATCAATGCTACGGCAATGGAATAGCTTGACTGATCTTTTATGGGATTCACTACTTGATTTTAAAAGTAAATAACTTTTTGAAAAGTTTTTTACTCAGATAAAATAATTGTCTCAAATTATTCATTAAAATACAAATGTCTTTTAGAATATCATAAAAATAGAAAAAGGTTCGAATATCTAAAACAGAAAACCAACTGTTCAAATAAAAAAATTTTTTGCTTCTAACATTATGAACTCCAAAAATTATTTTTATACATTTCAATCAGCATAGTAATGATCTCAAGCTACCAACTGACAACATCAAAAGAAGCGCTTCTGATCATAAGTTTGATAAAAACAGATCAATATTGTAAAAGAAAAATATTATTCTTAATGAATCACGGGATGTTGAGATTAGCTCAACCTCTTGTGCACTTGAAAAGCTAAATTCTAATGAGGAATTTTTCATTGATAATTACCGAGTTAAAAGCCACCATGGTAGTGTATTGGCAGAAGCTGTTGGAGGATACTGATCTGCTGAAAGAACTTGAGAAGGAAGGTACTGATCCAGTTCAGAGCTCTCCACCTCACATTCCTGAAGATTCAGTGGAATGTTGAGATTAACTCCACCCAATGATCCCAGGGTACTCATTGGTCCTTCATCTAACGGTAGAGGGGGTTCAATGACGTCAATGAATCTGTTGAAATCCACGTTACCTTGTTGATGAGATGTATCTGACATCGAAGAGCCTGATAAATCTGGGTGGTAAATATTATTTTGCTGATGCTGGTGAGCCTGCAATGATTATAGAAGGAGTAGTGATGCACATCACTCTTAAATGATTGATAGAATTAGCAATAAACGTAGGTTTCCAAGTGTTACCATCTGGTTAATGCACACCTGATTGACAAAGTGTTGCGCTCGAGGAGTCGTTGGTGGTGTAGGAGGTGACAGGCCTTGATTCGGCATCGTGGGAGGTGATGAACTTACTCGACTTTGTGGTGAATTTGTAATTTGACCACTACGCGGACTTAGGTCTTCTTGTTTCAGAGATTTACAGATATTAAATGTCACACCATTTTGAGTCCTTGACGGTGAACTATCTCTACCTGATGGACCATTTGGTTTTCGTCTTCGGGGTTGGTATTTGTAATCAGGATGCTCACGTTTATGAATCACTCGTAATCTATCTGCTTCTTCTATGAATGGTTTTTTATCATATTCAGAAAGTTTTCTGCAAATTAAGACCAGAAATCCCATAAGTTTTTTAATTTACCATTTTATTAATTAAAGTATTTGAAATTTTCCAGTAACATTACATCATCACTGAATGGTAATGAATTTTGTCAAGAAATGATTAATTATTTTAGCTAAAGACCTAGATAACTAGCTATTTGAAATATTAATTTAAAGACCTGATAATTGAATTTGATAGATCTGTAGAAAACATTACAATATTGGAAATTAAAAAACTATTAATTTAATGCCACTTATTTTCATTTGTTATTATTAATGTATCTTAGAACTCATCAACAAAAAAAAAATAATCAAAGGTTATTCTGATAATAAAAGTATTCATTTCTCCAGTCTGGCAATATTTTGCAATGAATACAAAATTCGTGATTACAAAGTCTATGTCTATCAAAATTAATAAAATCATGATCAAAAATGAGTTCTCACCCTATCTATTTATGTAATAAAATTGCAACTAAAGCAACAAAAACTAAATGATCACACAAGTCAGTGACTCTTGTACTGGTACTCGAATGACTATCAGAGACTAATACGTTCAAGTAGCAAAGTATTGAGAAGAAAGAAAAGGGTTTCTGGTTAGTGTTTCTGAAAGCGTTAAGCCATGAGGGTATAGTCCGTATATGAATGTCTACTTGAGACAACTAAGAATGACGCGCCTATACGGGTTAACTTGTGTTCATATTCCCACTGGCTCACGAGACTCGATAAGCTTTTCCGGTATTATTCTACAAGATGAAGAAGGAAGCAAGTCAAGAGAAACGGAAGAAAAAGAGAAAGAAACAATATCATAATTCTTTGAACACCGTGACCCTCGCACATTAATCGCACTTTTATGACGCTTCTTTTTAACCGTCTTCACTTATTATCAATATTCTCCTCTGATTAAGTTTTATGATTTTAATGTTTGTCCAGTGGCAGTGGCTTTAAAAGAATTAGAATTCAGCAGGTGGTGATTTTTAAAGATATAAATAGATTGTAGAAGTACTATGTTAATGATAAAAATCAACTGAAAAAAAATTTAATAGCAAGATTATGATAACTATCACTGAAAGTGAGGAATTTAAACTCGAGTGAAAAAGTAAAAGCAAGACCCCATCTGGTCAATGGACTTTGGCTGAAATTTTTTTCTACAGTTTCTGGGACCCTCAATACGTGTCCATATTTTTCTCTCTCAACCAGATGATGCACTGCAGGGTCAAATAATTCAGATCACTTTATCTTTGAAGTTATTTGTAAGCATCAGATGTGAAACAAAACTTAAAGTTTGTTCACACGATGATCATATTCTTTTATTATTATATAAATATTACTAAGTTGATATTAAAATATAATTTATGAACCTTCCAACATTACTTCATTACGAAACATGTTTTGGATCGCATTGAACATGTAATATTCATTTTTATTGAGTGTGAAGTTTTGGAGATGGGATGAAGTGCTGACATGTGTTATGACTTTAAGAATAAAATATTATATTATAATATATAATATGTTTATTTAAATAGTTAGAATTATTGTAGTAGTTTAAGTTTTTTTCATGATAACATAAAAAATTAAGCTCCACTTTCTTTTTTATTTTGGTCCTGAGTAAACCCACATGCTATAAACAAATTAATTGTGAGTTTTTCAGTGGAAATTTTTCCAACCAAAAGATCAACTGCTTTGAAAATCTTGTTTTTACTAATTCTTATGTATGGTGACTTAGGAAAATATTATATTATTTATGACAGGAACTGGCCACAATTTTGGTGTTAAAAATTTTTCATAAGTTGCCATAAATCATTTTTAAGAGACAATAACTCAAAGAAAGTGTTTGAAAATTTTTCACTGCAATCTTTTATGTGTGGAAGTTATAATGGTTTATCTTGATAAAAAAAAAATTAAAGAAAGTAAATCCAACAATTCAATGTATGATACAAATGTTATTAGATACGACTTAATTTGATTGTAGTTTTACACTTGATAATGATGATCAATGTCATCGAACCGTGTCGTAATGGTTGTTGGAAGTTATTGAATGTATAATTAAATAATAATTTAATATTTGAATACAATTGTTTGTCCAGCCTTTTCTAATCCAATTTCTAATTTTTTTATTTAAATAAAAGTTAGAATATTAATATTCTAACTTTTATAAACTTTTATAACTTGATATTATAATTATAATATCAATCTTAAGAAATTGAGTTAATTTTTATATAAACTTTTCATTTAAGAATAAGAAATACCTGGATCTAGAACTTAGATTCAAAAATTACTCAAGAAGTGAAATAAATACTGTGCAAAAAAATATTTAAAAAAAAATTATACCAGATAATTCTAAAAAGTTATTATTAATATTTGAGACCATTATTTCCACTTTTATTCTAATTTATTATTCTGTCAATATTAAAATTTATGTAAAAAAATTGATCAACATGAAACCTTTGCATTATAGGGTTGCAACTACCTGTTTTATAAGAAATATTTGTTATTTGATTCTTTTGTAGGGGTTTGATTATCCTGACAGGTCTGGAAAAATTCACCTGACAAGCACAAGGCGTTTATTGTGAATTTTTCAAGCATTAGGGTGTGTTATCACGAATATAGGTTCCTGGCCAGCAGCTGCTAGCACGCGCCGGGGATGAGTTCCCGATATGTCTGTTTCTCCATGGCAAATATAAAGTAATACTATCAAGATATCTTCTGAAAGGTGAGAGTGAAAAGAATAAAAAAAAAGTTGAGTAATTGAAAAAACTCTCTGAAAAATCGTCATTCTAAACACTTATAACACCTGGATACATTTTATCTATGATTTTGTACAGACATTGCTCAATTCATAAATAAAAATATATCGATATATAAAAAGGTTGATAAGTAAACTGTAAAAATAGCTTTTGGCAATTAAATTGGATTATGTTGGTTAACATTTTCTCATCGAAATCTAGCTCTCGATCGGATACTATTGAGCGAAGATTGCTCAGTAAAACGATACTCAGCAGGAGATTATGTCGGCAGATCGTTTGTGAAGCTCGATGGGGTCTCTCGTTAACTTCATGATCAGAAATCGAAATTGACCTCTCGCTCTATACACTTGAACTTACTTTTCACGTTCTTTCTTTGTCATTATTATTTTCTTTTTCATTGGGTCGCATTTCTTTTATCCACAACGAATGATTAGGACATAAAAATAAAAATGACTAGTCATGTTGACGATATCAGTGTACTGAACTCTATTAGAAATTTTGAATGATTCATTTTTAGATTGACATATCTAATTGGAAAGTTTAATGAACAAATATTATGCAGTATGCACAGCAATTTACTAAAGAGAAAGGTGATACGATGTGAAAGAAAGAGATATGCTAAGAATGACAAATCGTGTGAAAAAATTTTAAACTCATTTAAACTGACGGAATGTATTGAGAGTGAAATTTAATTCGATCAAATATATTTTTCAATTAACTCATCCTATTAATTCGTCAATTTTTTTTTTCTTTCTATTACTTTATTTATAGTTAAGAATTTTGTCTTGATAAAAAAGTAATCTTTAATATTTAAGTTATTCTTCATCAAATATAAAAGATTTGATAAATCAAATATCAAAAGATCACTAAAAAAATTTGTAAATCATTTTTTTTGTTTAAAATTTAATCAAGTTTTTATTTTATAGACTATCATTAATTAATTTTTTTTAATTATTGTTTTACACTTTTAATTATCTATATGACATCTATTCTTTTTTAAGTTTTCTGGTAGATTAGACTTATTGAAAATTTTATTAAAGAAGCAACTTTTCCTGTGCCGATTAAACAATTTAAACCAATTAAAAAAACGTCCAACAAAAAAATTATCAATAAATTTTTTTGCCCAGTCAACTGTGAATGTCTACAATTACGCGCAAGAAGATGTTCTCTTACGCTTGAGAGGACTCAGGCGTAAGCTTCTTAGCCCTGTGAGAATTGTTCTTATCTAATGGAGGGTCGTTGGATCTGATCGAAGACACGTGTACCACTTTAATTCGATCTATTAAAACGTCAGATATCATTCTCTCAAATGCAATTTTTATCTCTGGAAAATAATTCTATGTAATCGCATGAATAAAAAACTGAGACTACTATGTAAATAGAAGCCAATGGATATATTCAGCAATGTTTAGAAACTTGCAAACACGTATATTTATTTTACTTCCACCATTTTCTCATGGTTCGTTGCTGCAGTGCAAATTAAGCGTACATGACCAGGCGTTCATCCACGCCCATTTCTCCATGGCGCATGCACAAGTAAACTGAGACATTACTGATGACATTAGTGCATTTGATACTCACCGCCAAAGTTGTCCAAGTGTCTTTGATAATTCTGCATTATGGAGCTGAGGATACTGATCAGCTAGTTTTCTTCTGGCAGCTTGTGCCCATACCATAAAGGCATTCATTGGCCTTTTGACGTGCGCTGCTCTTTTATCACCACTTCCTCTAGAATTAAAAAGAAAAATATGTTTACAATCTAAGATTTACATCAAACTTTATTCATCAGGATGATATTTTTAAATAAATATCAATTATACGTCGTAAACTTTCTTATTAAATTGATGATTTAGCAACATAGTCGCCAAGATCAACTAATTTTTGATGAAATTATTCACTCATGTGCTAATTTTTTGAACAAAATTTAATATTAATAAAAATAATCTACCCATAGACAAGTAGCATGACTCACCATTTACTATCCTACATAAAATCTTACACGGAAGGATCAGTTATATCAGGAGTTAACGGCTAAAAACCTCTCGAATAAATGCCTGTGCTTAAAATAACATGAAACGAGTTAGCCCTTTCTCTCACAAAAGATGACTTTATAAAACTTTCGTCTATTTGAGTGTTAAGATTATCTTGACTGACACGATTGCTCACCCTATATAACCCTTCTACCGCATTTTATTCTTTTTCACGTCGATCAAGGACTCTTGCTAACATATATCATCTCAACATATGTAAAAAATTAAATTCTTCTATCTGCAAAGTGTCGACAAATATCCAAACAGTAATCAAAAGAACATGAATCCAACAGTCATCTTAGTTGGATTTAATCGTCTAATTTATCACCAAGTAGGTTGTTGAAAGATGGTTGTAAAAAATAAAACCAACTAGAACTGGACAAGCTTTGAATTCAAAAGTATTATAATTCATTGATCAAAGTTGATAACTGCATATTATTTTAAGATATTCAGTGATGAATAAAAAAAAGAATTTGTGAATGAACTCGTGTAGTCACTCTTGCTTTTGAAATTCATTTTTGATGACAAGAAATAGAATTTTTCAACTCTAAAACTTTTAAAAAATATGGTAATACTAATGGGGGTGTTAAATTCATAGACAAACCAAGGAGCTGTAGATAATTAGCATGGGCTCTCTAACGAGATCCACTGTGACCTCTGGCAACATTACTGTACTCTTTGGGTTTACCTAAATGTGTAAAAAGTATCAACGAATATTCTCTTGCTGCTACTTATACCTCATTTATTTTAGCTAAATCGACTTCGGTTTTCTACTTATAAAACACATTCAGAAGCTAAAAAGGTACCCAATATATCAAGAAGTTATGAAATTGTTGAAAAAAAATTTTACATTTATATATAAACATTATTATTTTCTTTTTATAACATTGCTGTATCAATGTTCAGGGATAATTGAAACACGTACACCCTTTCTCCGGTTCTGATAACCCCAGCTTATATTTGACCTGGGACTGATAAATACATCTAGATAAATCAAAACGCATTTTTGTGCCCCACATATCGTAAATTTATGACCCTTAAATCCGAACTAATTTTTCTAGATATTCAACCTTATGAGCCAGATGTTGATTCTGTGGTATAAAAATTTTTCCTCTATTGTTCATGACTGTTTTTATTATGATTTTTAACACTGCCATCAATTTCATTTCGTGCATTTAATCATTGAAATGTTAATTATTAGGATAAGTTGTGAATCATCACACCTTTAGTTAATGTTATGCTGGTGACAACAAGAAGAATATGTGCAATTTGTGTATACACGTAGTACAGTTGGCTAGCGATCGGGTATTAATTAGCTAATTTGCGTTAATTGACAGCCGAGGACATTTTTCCACGAGTGTTTCCCAGGCCAGGGAAACGAGTGCGTCATAATTAAGTTAGCGATACGAGGATTTTTTTCTTTCTTTTTTTGCTGGATATTTTTCTTTTTACATGACAAATAATCGATTAGCTCCTGACGTATTTTGTTTTGAAATTTGACAGCTTTCAAAAGTATTGGAGTTTTCAGAAGTGCTGAAATAAATTTTTTACACCCGACTTTCATTGATTCAATTAATAATCCTATGTTTTTCTAATCATTTTTAATTTATTGAAAACTCAATATGTTCTTGATAATTACCTTAATGCAAAACATTTTTTATTGAAATATAAAATAATTTATTCAAATAAACGAAGTGATAGGTTTTCTAGAAGAAGCGAAGTATTCTTCAATCTTTAGATTTCTTGACATTATTAAAAACCTTTTTTTATCATCCATGGTGGTAACTTTTTGCAAAATATAAGCAATGTTTTTATTTTTATTAAAATAAAAGAACTAAAAATAGCACTTACTTTGTAGCAGCAGGTGGTACCAAAGACCAATCATAGCCTTGAAGAACTTTCGTGACGGCAGCACTGATTCCTTCTCCTCCACTATTGGATCCAGTGTTACTTGATGAATGATTAGTACTTCCCCCATTCTTTGTTGTACTAACATTATTGTTATTATTAACATTAATATTATTATTGTTACTGATACCATTTTCAGTAACTGGGCCTGATGATTCTTCCATCATATCCTTCAATTAATATCACCAGCACCACAATGTTTATTTTCATCAACAGCCTCCAAATATCAACTATTTTGTAAACTTTTAAATTTCACAATTGAAAAATCACCATCTATTGTGCCATTCCTTACGCGCGAATCTTTTGTTCGTTGCTATCGGTTACTTGAGCAATAATATATAATTGTTATCTTCTCCCCTCGAAGATGCAAACTGCTTGTGATTGTTGCTTCGAGGAGTGTGAAAACTGACAACTTGGAAAAATTTCTCAAGTATTATATATTGATCGCAACACCCGTTATGATAATTCCACAAGAGTCACAAAAATTAATCAAAGCTAACTGATAATTAAAATTAATTATTAATAAAATTTCACACAAATGTTAAACACCAGTTTGAAAATTGAAATTATTGATGATGCTAATGAATGAAATTAAAAATAGTTGTAATAACCTGTTGCTTTCGTGAGTAACTAAATCACATTGGACCCATTGAAATGTCAAAATCTCCAGAACCGGTCCCACTTTTCAGTTCGTGCGAGAGCGCGATCGGCGCAGAAGTGAGGTGGTTGCATTGCCTCGGGGCAGTTTCCACCACGCGTTAGGGCCCGTTGGAAGGCGGAGCATCCGCCAACGACACTTGTTGCTTCAGATATATTCCATGGTCTAGCGTAGAAGATAAGAGGGAGAATAAGACATCAAGTGGGAATGGAATATAAGGTTTCAAGGATCTCAATAACACTTTTAGCATCACCAATATTCTCCAACATCACTAGTAGTTTGATTTGTTTTGTATTATTATTGGTATAATGCTTCATAAAAATTTCAAATATTTATTTATAAAAATATTTATATAGCATCAAGATAAAATATGTTAAAGTTTGCACCTAAAAAAAAAGTAATTAATTAGCTGATGCAGTTATTCATTGGCTGACACATGATCATTAGTTTCCTATCTTTCTCTTTGCTTTCGTGCCAACTTGATCTTCCGCTTCTTCCTCATCTTGGTTTCTCTGTTTTGCAACGTGCTATTTATATTTCGGTACGTGTCTCTCGTATAACTCGATTAGGGTTTCCATGGATACGATATCCTTCGGTAAGATGACCAATCGGCTCTCTTTTCAACGTCTTCCGCCCTCTCTTCTACTTATACTTAAACATACGTTCCCTCCTACGTTTTATCTCTCATTGGCCAGTGAATCACCACAACGAGCATCACGTCATGAACACCTCGGTGAGAATCTTGTCAAGACCATGATATTTCTAAATGATTAATTGAACTTTGTTACAAAATTAAGGCTTTTAGCTAAGCTCTCGTCTTGATAAATTAATGTCACTGAAATCTTCGTTGACAATATGTTTAGATTAGACTTGGTTAAAGATCAATTTTTTGATAGATGTATCCAAGATTCAGACGAAACATTCATAGGTAAAACAGTTGGATTAAATCAGTATCTAAAATATTGGAGATTGTCAAACTCATCATTGAACCTGGAATGTTGGTTTAAATATATTTGATTGTTTTTTTAAAGTTAGATACATGAAAATCTTTTATGATGGCATCATTGTTGTTAAATAATTTAGTGGAGATCGGAAAAAATTTGCTGGAAAATTAAATTTCAAAGAATTAAGCAGGTTTAATGTTGGACCAATGATGATGAATCCAAGTCATTGACCTCTCTAAACTAGTAACTCTTTTTTCTTAGAGAATTTTGACCGTAGATATACTAATGAGATTCTAAAAGATAAGCCGAAGCATCTGGGTCTTGACAACATTATTTGACAAATAAGATCATAATATTTTTTAATTAATATTTGATATGTTTAACAATATTATAGTTTAATGGTCATTCTTATCAGTTCCATCACTATTTCATGATTATTTTCATTACTTCCTCAAAGAAAAAACTTTGAAATTATTCCAACTCATTACCCAATTTGAAAAATTGACTTCTTATAATTTAACTATTATTTGTAAAGATAAATATTAAGTCTTATTGCCTGGAATTAAAAATAGCTAGATAGAAAAGTTAAAAAGCAAATACATCAAGTTGATGATCAAATATTTAAACAAAGTAGATGAGATAAAATTAATCAAATGTAAGCTGACATTTTTATTTAATATAACATAAGCGGTTCTCACGTAGAGATGATTTATATTCTCCTTCCTTAAAAGTTCTTTACACTCGTTCCCAAGAGTCTAGCTTTACCCACTTCCTCAATAAACCAAGAGAGAAACCGTCGCGAAATTGGGTCTTGTATAAGGGGGGTTAACAAGGCCCACGTGTCGCCTGCAATCGTCCGTCGGGAATATACATATAAGTCAGCAAAAGAGGAAAGCCAATGTGTTCCTCCTTTCACTATAAGAGAAGCCGCGACTTTTCTTTATTCTATCATATAGCATCTGGTGTAGGTCCATCTACTATACAGTCCTGAAATTCTTTGCATACCACTGCCTTGATTTTTTTCTCACAAATCATTATATATGATCACAAAATGAATTATCTCTCAGATAACTGTTATAGATCCAAGGGATATTAGTTGATAATTAGAATCCTAATGATGAAGCAGCAAATTTCTTAGCTCTGGAGACTGTTTAGATTTTCTTCTCATCTGTTATTTTTCCACAGTCAACTTCACTATTTTATCTTATTTATTTTCTCTAATATATTAGTCTTTGAGCAAGTTTTGATTTAAGAACTGGATTATTATTGTATATTTATAAATAATGATAAAAACAAATATCAAAAGATGAAGAAAAAAAATATCACCGTTGAAGAGCACGCGTCACGACGTCTGTGGCCAATGACGATGCAGAATGTGCTACGGCCTATAACTCTCTTGGGGGTCCAACTCGCGGGACCCACCTCCCGGCGAGCTACATGTGTCAGATGCCCTCGCGCCCGCCCTCGCGGATGCGGCCTGCCACTCGATCGTCTTTCAAGTATCCGACAAGGCTTAAAACCTGCAGAGAGTCTGTGCGGAATCACTTCAATCATTATTTCATGTGGAATCATCAGATCTCATGCTCGTGCCTTCGGCGACATTGAAGTTTGTATAAAAGTCTCAAGAATTTCTTATTTAATGTCATGAATGTCATGATTCAATATCACTTCTTAATGTTTTGAAGCAATCTGTCTTCATAGTTTATCTAGATATTGCAAGTAGATTAATTATTAATATATTTTTAATCTTCTGAACTCTCATTAATTAGCTGTGTTTTAATTTTTTCTTTACTTTTTTAATGGATTCAATAAAAAAAATATCAAAACTAAGTGATAATATTAAGCAAGATGATATAAAACTTGTTGATTAATAAAAAATATGATTTATGATCATTTTGTTATTATCAACTATCAGTCAGCTATTGTAAATTTATTGTGATAATTTTTTTTTCTTGTGTCTAGAATGAGGCATTCAAATGATCTCTATCCTACTTCTTAAAATATCGAATTTTTCAGTGCTATGCAGGAGTATTTATTCTTATTTTTATTATTCTGATTTTTTTTGCAACTATTTCTATTTAAAAACTAAATAAAAAAACAACTCTATTTAACAACTATTCTGGGAATTGATTACAACTAGACCATTTTTAGTTCAAATTTTGAAAAATGTTAAAGTAAAAATGAAAGCTTTTAACACAGTTTTTGTAAATGTTGAATAAAAAACAGAGTATAAAAAGAATTTTTTTTAAATCTAGTAATTTTTAGAACTAGTAATGTGAATGAAAAATAAAATTCATTTTACTGATCAGTTTCTTTTTTTCAGAGACATTAGATTTCATGTCAGAAAGCGCACATATTGTTGCCACGTGCACGTCGGGATGTTTACCAGTGAAAAAGCGAAATTCCGTTTTGGTGGAATCAATATTATTGTTCGCTGTTCACCAGCTAAATTTACAACCAAACGAATCCAAAAATGCTCGTCTAAAGACATCAATAATCAAGGGTATCGTTATATGTGAAGCTTAATATACATTCAAGGTTTATGATGATAATGGTGATCATGATTATGATGACGACAATGATCTAAATACGAGTATTTCCAAAATGTCTTCTCACTGTTGAAGTTTATTACTTTAAGATTTTTAATCTTAACTATTTCTGTACTGCTTCATAAGTTGAATTTTTTTTATAAAAGAATAAATAATATAAAACGAATGGTACAAAATTTGATGATGAAAATTTTTTAAAAAAATATATACAATAAATTTTAATTATGAAAAGGGTGGTTTTAGTCTGTTTCACATGAACTAATTTCGATATAACGGTAATTTCAGAACTGTACGACTTATTTTATTCAAAACTAATTTTTCTTAATTAATGATCAAATGATTCAAGTACGATTAGAGAATAATTATCATTAATCGAATCATGTTCTTGTTGACTGAAAAAGAAAGTTTATTATCCGAATGTTTCGAACTAAAAAAAAATATCAATAGAACCCACTTGAACATTGTAAAATTAAGTTGGTATCAAAATTTTGTGATCTTAATACAATAATTCATATACATATAAACAAAATGATTTTATTTGTCTGGAGTAATCAATCATGATCATTAAACAAAAAAATCTGATGAATCATTGATTTTTAAAGTCTAGTCTCTTTTCAGCAACTACCTCTCATTTTTTCATCGTTCAAGAAAAAAAGATGTTAATAAATACCCAAGTAATTTTTCCGCTTTTTAACCTACTTTTTACTCTGACATTTTGATCTACTTGGCATTTTACTAGCCGCTGCATTGATTCTCTTCCAAGTGCTCTTGTTCATGACACTTGAGCAGTGAAAGAGAGGTTTTACCTCTTGCGAGGGTGCGATGAATCCAAGTAAGGCTCTTTGATCTATTCCACAAAAGCCGCCACACGGCATTGACCATGGTTTATATGTGCTTCTGAGTGGTGCACTGTCTTTGCTAGATCGCTCATTCATTAAATTTGTTGTATAATTAGGCGCTACAGCGATGAGATGACGCGCGAGACGAGTCTTAGTTTTCAAGTGTACTTAGTTCTTCGTCAACGAATCGTGACAAATGACAGTTGGATTCTCAAAATTGCCACATAATATATTTTATATTTTCAATTGTTTTATTTTTAACAAAATGAATTATAATTATTCAATGACATTAATACCAAATTCTTTATTTTCTAGTGGCCAAAAAAATGGAGAAATCTTTTTAGTTTTATAAATATCACTAATTACTTTAGACGACATTTTTGGTATTCTATTCCGAAGTGGATCCTCAAAGTCAACAGAGAAGATACCAAATTTGACTGAGTAACCGTTCATCCATTCAAAGTTATCGATAAGAGACCAAACAAAATAGCCTCGAATGTTGATACCTTGTGCGATCAATTTAGGAATTTCACTGAGATGAAGATGATGATATCTAGCTCGACTGATGTCAGCCAATTGACCTCGATCCCAGTATCCATTTTCAGTAATTATCATCGTGGAAATGTTAAACTCCTTATTCATTCTCTGTATTGCTGCTACTAAAGCCCATGGAGTACACTGAAACATAGAGGTAATATTAATTGATCCTATCAAAACTTAATCAGCTGATAATACATCTCGAAACATACTCTATCAGTGAATGTTGTACTATATTCCAGTTCGGGTTTCTCAAGCATACCAATATCACTATAAAAAGATACCGTATTCTTTATATCATAGTCAGTCCACTTTCTTATTGATGATGCATGATAAAAATTAATGCCCAGATAGTCGGCAGAGTTCTTAATCATCTCTATTTCATTCTCTGAGAACTTTGGTAGTCTTGACTTGGAGAACCCTTGAAGATCACTGTGATATGAAATTCTCTCTATCATTTCTTTTGGATAATCACCGTCATCACTGAAAATTGGATGTAAGAACCATCCATTACGAAATTGAAACCATCGTTCGACACCTTCTAATTCTTCTTCATCTTCAGGATTTTCAGCAACAGGCCATGATAGTGATATAACAATACCTACTTGTCCTACATTAAAAAATTGACTTGTAAATAAAGTTTTTGAGATTGTTTATTGAGTGAATAAGATCATTTATAAACCTTCTTGGTCTGCTGCGAATTCATTCTGGTACATTTCGTAAGCTTTCGCATGAGCAATCAGAGCATGATGGCCACACAGATAATCGGCAACTCCGGATTGTTGAACTAAAGGAATCCAATCTCCACCATATCCGAAACCACAGAAGATTGAAGGTTCGTTAATGGTTACCCAATATTTTACCTAAACAATAATAACACACATGTTTTTTTATTTTATTGATAATACATACTATTAAACAAATTAAATTTGAAATAACAATTTTCTTTCAACTTTAATAGAATAATTTAAATTAATCCTAAATTTATTTTAGATAAACATTTGCTCTAATTGATAATTGATGTGTGGTCTAAGTAATTATAATGATTGATATTGAAACGATCACTAAATTAAGATTAACGGACCAGCAAATACATTGAATTGGCACCGAACAAATAGTAATCAGCTGGTATAATTTATCTGATGCTCAGTTAATAGTTATTTAATGCACGGTTTATTATTATCCATTTATAACGACTTTACCCTGTCTCCAAAAGCATCAAAAGCTATTCTGGCAAAATCAACGAACCAGTCAATGATTAAAGGATTTGACCATCCTCCTAGATCTTGTAATTTTTGCGGCAAATCCCAGTGATAAATTGTAACCACAGGTGTTATATTTCTTCGTAACATTTCATCAATTACATTATTGTAATGATCGATAGCTTTGGCATTTATATAATTAGAAAATCCGTTGGGCAAAATTCGTGGCCATGATAGAGAAATTCTGAATGCATTTGCCTAAAACAATAAAAAGTTATAAATAAATAATAAAATTAAATTACTATACAGGTTTTTGTATTCCAAAAAAAAATTAAAAAATGAAAGCATTTAAAAATTTTTCAAAAGTTTACAAATATTTTTGAAACAATTAAAATTTTATTTTTTAATAAAGTTTTAACCATGAAGTCTAGTAAACCAAATCTAAACTGGTCCTTTAAGTTTAGTTAGTCATAATAACATAGAAAACTTACTCCAACTTGTTTAGAAAGTTCTATATCTGTCTTGTACAAATAGTAAGAATTAGCAGCAATATCGGCATTTGTTTCGTCCTTCACTATCCCTGGCTGCTGGTGAGTCATATAGTCCCATACTGATTGGCTTTTATCTAAACGTTTGTTTAAAATGGATTATTATTTCCGATTGATTATAATTATTTTGATAATATTTATTAATTATCAATTAATCGTTCTAATCGCTATTTACTTACTTGATACGTTCCATGCTCCTTCAGTTTGATAAGCTGATGTGCTGACCCCAAATAAGAAGTCATTCGGAAAACGTCCTTCTCTAGCTACATTTACGTCAGCTGAATTTATCTTCTGAATGTGAGACAATGGCTGCATTTCATCAGAATAATCAAAATCACTAATACGGTTAACTATTATTCCAGGAACATCTGGCAACATTGATGTTAATGTGTACATCAAACCAACTAGAGAGTTTAAATTGCCAAATAACCACATGTTGACAACAAATGTTATTTATTTCTATAACAAACTTTAAATCCAAGTAAACTTGTTTAGAGTTTAAATCAGTTTCAAAAGTACACTAAATCATTGCCCGAAGTAACTGCTCGATGATATTCTCAGAATGGTCTGGCGTTCGAAAATGAACGTAAGCTTTCGTAACATGTCTATTCTTATCGTAGTAAAATGTGATAATCCAAGTATGGGTATACTTTTATCCTATAATTTTTGTTATTGATAAGCAAATACACTTGTCAGAATAATTATACTGTTTTCAATAATAATTGGTAATTGTTATTTTTTTTTTACAACATGTTTTATATAGTTTATTTCAACGACTTGGAACCTTTGACTCCGATTTGGTCCAGAAAATCGGCGACATGATCTCGATTAATTCAAGTAACATCTTCGTCGAGTCTGTGTGGTTGGGTGTCGGGGCTAAAATTAATTCAAACGTGGGCGCGTAATGAAGAGTCCAGGGCAAGGTAGAGAAGAATTGGCGTTGCAGCAACGGAGAATGGACCGAGGACAAGATGAGGAATATTCCCCCACTTATAGAAGAGGTGGTGGTCCACGGAACGCCTCCACATCTCTCCCATCTCTTGTTCATCGTGACAACGCTCAAGACGAAGACGCATCTCACGCTTTTCTATTTCTTTTTCCATTCTCTCGTGCACTCATCTTCGTCTTCTCGGTCCTGTTGCTGCTGCCAGGGTTGGGGAGTGATCAAAGCATTGCCCTGCTGTTTGTCTTCAGAGCGGTCTCGAAAGTCTTCCCGGTTTTGTTCATTTGTTTCAATCACCTACGATTATCAATACTTGTCTATTGTATTATTCAACAGTTTGTAAAAGTGTTGAAAATGATTACCAACAAAATATTAATATTCAAGTGGAATGTATAATTGAAACGTTTTTATTATTATCTTATAAAAATTATTCATCAACTTACCAGGATGGTTAATTCATTGAAACAATCACGTGATATTTTCAAGTTTCTTCATCAACTAACAAAAGCTTTTGATTTGTGAATGTGTTCAAGATGAAGATCAAAATTGATGACAAGTATTCATCAGTGAATTAATGTCCAACTATTGGTATTAATAACAGACTTACTCGGATCATTTAAATAAAATTAAATTGACAATTAGTTTAAATCAAGTCAATCGAATGGAACCATGGAAACACCTGAGGACAGTACATCAATAGAAGGAAAAGCAGGACCATCAAGTAGTGAACCCAATTCATTAGATGATGCTGTAGGAAAGCTTCTCCAAGGTAAATAAAATAAACAAGTTTATTCATTAGTATAAATCATATTTCCATTTTTTTTCTTACTAACCTCTCCCTAGTCTTTACCTTCTCAGATCTGTATTAGATCGTTTAACATGGACATTTTAATTGGCGTTGAAAGCGCTCGTCGTCGGCCATCGTTCTTCTGATTCTTGGATTTATCCTCGCGATTACGAGACGATATGTAAGTTCAAGAGTGCGAGGGATAGAGGGTACGATAAAGATGAAGATATATAAACAGGGCAAAAATCCTAGAGAGGGAGGGAGCGTCAGCATGAGAAGAAGTCGCAAAGATTTCGCATGGCAGGTGCTGCGAGTCGAGCGAAACCGTTCTACGACACTAATTATGCGAGTACCGAATTAAATCTGACACATCTTGTCGTGCCGGCAATCCGTAGACGAGATAATTTATGAGTAAGAGCTGTTGCAAACTTCCCACGAGTACTCATAATTTCAACGGCCTGCCAATTTGTTCGAAAAAGAAGCTTCAGTGATTCTATAATAGCTCTAGCATTCTAGAGCTCAGTCAAGCTTTCATCAAGGACAATAGAAAATGAGTCTCTTATTGAATATTAATATTGGATTAACAACTTTAAATTAATTGCTAGTAAATTACTTGATTGCTTGATCTAAAGAAAACGTTTGGCACGTTGATGAAAGAAGTCTTCAAGATTGTATTACCAGTCTGGGTGGCGTTTAATTTTGATGCTCCAACAGTAATGATATTGTAGAAGAGTTAATATACCAAATAGCAAGATAACAACGTCACATTGATACTATCAGATATTTATTATGCTGTTGTATTTAATGAAAATTAATTTGTAATCCTAACTTTTTTAGTTGGAGATTTATTAGCTGGTTGACATCTATTAAATTTGGTGAAATAATGTATATATTTTTTATTAAAGTTGAAAGTTGAAGTACCACATTTTATACTTAATATCTCAGATATTAATCGATGATAATTTGGAATATTTGCAATTTTAGATTTAAATGATTAAACTAACTAAATATTTACAATTTTTCTGTATCATTGAAATCAAATCTTATCATATCAGTTAATTTCGCATTAAAAGAATGCAATGATTAAAATTTGTTGATATATCAAACAATTGAAGTAGTATAAATGAGTTACAAAATTTATAATATAATTTATACGTAAAATTTAATAAGTAAACGTCACAATTTCTCTTGATAATGCTGTAATTACATTATGTTTGTAGATTAAATTTTAATGAGTAAAAGATTTAATATAAGATGAATTTTTTTGATTAATTAATAAGTGGTTAAATATATAAATTGATGAAAAAGTTCAATATTTATTTTATTTTTTATTACAAGCTGTAGCAATTACAGTGCAAAATTTGTTAGAGAACTGTTAATAGCTGGTCTCTACCTTGTTCAGCATCTTGGTTAAGCATCAGTTTATTTTTAATCTCAATTGTTTTATCAATAACTTATTTACGATATAATCTAAACTTTACATTGAAAATGAATTAAAACTCAACAGTTTTAGTATTTAAAAAAACAACTCAAAATTGATATTGATTTACAGTTAAAGTTATTATTGGATATTACGTTTTACTTACTGCACATATTATTTTTCATTCATTTGTTCAGGCATTCATTTCATAACTGCGTATAATGATAATTTTTAAATAGATAAAAGAATTGTATTTAGCTGAAAAAATGTACGTAATAGTTTCTTAATTACGTTGTTAATTTTTTATTCTTTCGTGTCATGACTTAAATATGCAAATCGATTGACTCAGCGACTACGAGATAAGTGAAAATGATAATGGCTCGGTCTAATAACCGTAACAATCAAATCATATTAGCTCTTGATCTACTAACAAAACTTTTAAATATCATTACATAAAATTATTTTAGTTTATCATGAGAATTATTTTATTTTAATTTATTTTTAATGTTACTACTCAGTGAAAACAAAGCAGAAAAAGTTTTTGGCGCTTCTAAAAATTAATTTTTCAGAAAATTATAACTTTTTAGACCTTGTTGTGTTGATAATAACAGTTAATAAATTTAACTAATTAGGTACATACTGGATTTTTGAAAATTACCAAAAAATTATAAAATACAATTAGTAATGATTCTTATAGGAAATGAAGTGTATTAATCGATTTTAAATTTATTATTATTCATTTCCTCCAGATGACAGAAAAATTTGTTTAACTTTTTACATAGCATTGTAAATATAAATTATTATTTATGAGATAACAAATATAATAATATTATCATATTTAACAAGCTTAGAAAAATCAGTTTTTATGTATTGTAGAAAGCTTTTCTACAATTGTAACAATATTTTGAATATGATCAGCAAAAAAAAAGATAATAAATGTTCTAAGATAATATTGGCTCAAATGCGAGACAATAAATCCAACAATAAAAGATTTTAAACATACCAAACTCTTTCTTAATAATGCAAGATTCAGGTATCACAAATAAAAGATTGCTTCTTATTAGCAATTTCATTCTCATAAATATGAATATTTGTAGAATATTTATGTGCAAGAAGTGATATTTCCATTTGCTGAGTAATTTGTTCTATTGAATTATGCCTGACTTGCTACGTATAAATCTGCAAACAAAATATTGTGATTAAATATTTTTGTTTATTATTAAATATAATTCATCAAGAAAATAAAAAATTTTAAAGATATAAGAAAAAAAGAATGAATTGAGAATAATGATAGAAAAGCCTACAATTTTTCTGACCAACCGATAGCTAAAAATTGATGTATGTCTCAGTTCTAAGTCTTCAAAAGGAAGTATGACATTTTCGAAGCATTTTTTGTGATCCTTACGAGACAAATGTTGCGTATAGTCGCAATCCATGGAAATGTATTCCTGGCAATTCGAAAAACTTGTTGTCGATTCCTCGTAAAAATGAAGAACTCGACGAGAACCTGAAGCAATGATAGGGAACCGACAGAAGGGCCGCACCGTTGGACCGTGTCACCGTTGTAATTAGCTGCCACTTCCCTCAAGGAACCCTGATGACACTCCACCACGTGTGTCCTACCAAAAGTTGTACTAATTATTATATTCCCTACTTGGCAATTAGGGTTAAACCGACACTTTGAAGATGTCTAACTGGTTCACTCTTTTTTTGCCATAAACGTCATTGCTCGTTTTTTAATAACACGATCCCTTACTTAGTTTTTATAAAAAATGAATGACATCTTCTTAGTAAAACAAATTTTTTATCATCAATAAATACGTTTGCAATAATTGTAAATAATTATGTCTTTTTAATTCATTAAATTAATTTTTTTAAGAGTTTTATCGATTTTTATCAATTCTTCCTGATAGCTTGTCATATTTATCATTAAAAATAAAAATAACATTACTCTACTACTTATGAGTTTAAATATATAAAATTTAAATACTCAAACTGCTATTTACTACGTGTAAAAGATAACAGGGAGACATGATATTTCAGGTTACAACTGGACACTATTGCCAGTGACATCACGAGCAGGAGGACGTCGGAGTGCACATGTCAAGCGACCAATGAATGCTTTTATGGTCTGGGCCCAGGCAGCAAGAAGAAGACTTGCTGATCAGTATCCTCAGCTTCATAATGCGGAGCTGTCAAAGACTTTGGGAAAACTCTGGAGGTATTAATTAGTATGTTTGTCTGAAGAAAATATCATTTCCTGTATCACTTTGTCTTTGTAGGATTTTAAGCGACGGTGAAAAACAGCCATTTATTGAAGAAGCTGAAAGACTGAGAAATGCACACAAAAAACAACATCCACATTATAAAGTATATTTTATTTTGCATTTATAAAATATTTTTTTCATAAACATTTATGTTAAATTGCTTAAGTTTGCAAAGAAATTAGTTTAATGTAGAGTAGGTACTTCGTTAAATTCAAAACTAATTAAGTTTATAAAGTTGAAGTATGAATTTTTTACATATTTTAGAAGAAGACTACAATTTCGTGCATGAGAGCTATTTAAAATTACCTTTGTGATTTATTAAATTTTTGATACAGACAAATAATGTGATAATTCTGAAAATGTAAGAATTTAAGTTAACATCTTTATTACTTGTAAAAAGAGCAGATCATATAGGTCTAAGAGGTTGTTATAATTAATCTAAAGTTAAAAACAGTTTTTTTTGATAAAAAAGTACATCAGATTTTAGTCGAACATGTTATATAATTTGAGAACGTTTTTTTCGTATTAATCCAATTTTTACTTCATTGATAAAGTTTTCTATCCATTATTGCATATCAATGATAAGAACGTGGGTAAAATAAATAAAATATGATAATAAGAAATTGATAATGATGACTTAATATTCTGCATTAAATAAGAAGATTTTTAGAACGAAATTACTTTAGCGCAAACTTAAGTAATTCAATAAAAATGATTTTTCAGCACGAAAAAAACTTAAATATCTTATTTACCTTTATAGTATCAACCACGTCGTCGGAAGCCGAAGACAGAAGAACAAATAAATATCCTGGCGCATCGTAACTCGTTACAATCTTCCGTATCCCTTGACTCAGCAAGTTCTTCGGATTGTAGTTACAGTCGGCTTTATCCCGAAACTCCCAGCAAGTCATACGACCGTTCGTTGACTTATTCCGAACCAAACAAACATTTTGAACTCTCTAAATCGTATATGGAAACTTTCAAGTATCCCGATCTTCAAAATCGACCTTATGAAACTCTTCCCAAGTACGAGCTGTCAGCTAAAACTTATCCTGATCCTAAATGTCATGATCTCCAGAACCCGAAGTGTTCTGATAGCAGTCCAAGGTATTCAGATCTCCAGGCTAAGAGTTATGAATCTTTGCCTAAATATACAGAGCCCAAAAATTACTCGGAAAGTTTCAAGTATCCAGAAGTTACGAACAGTACTAAATCTTATACCTATGTGCATGGCCAGTATTATCCTGCACCTGAAACATATTCAGTACATGAGGAAAATGATTATCAAAGTCAGAATATGACTACTCATACTTTTTACCCATATATTTCTGCTTCAATGGCGCAATCTCCTTATTACATGGGACCTCGATAAAACAACAAAGAAAAACTGACATAGTTTGCATTTTTATCATGAGGTGAAGTTTATTATGGCAGCTAATTATTCTTTTGCTTTATCTGTACAGTGGTAAGAAGGAAAAAATATTGATTGTGTTAGAGTTAATTAAAGTTAAGTTTATTTGATAATTTATCTGCGTGTAAAAAGTAATTAAATCATTTTTTTCTTCCTTATGTGTGTGTATTATTTATTTATTTTTTTAAATATCATTAATTATCAATTACATGAAATCAAATATACACTATATAAAATCGAACCAAACGAGTAAGTTACAACAGTTTTAAAATTAATACTTGGATAACCATAAAATATTATAACTTAAGTACCTCTAGTAATTACTAAAGGTAACGTTTACGACTGAAGCCAACTCTTCGACTTGATTTTACACCTATTGTAGAGTATTGACAGCAATGTCTTTTACCCATGGAATCATAAGTATATATTCAAGCGATCATCTGTTCCATAAAGTGTGCTTGAATTAGAAATTCACAAATTTGAATGACATCAAATTAAACGATTTGTTTAACAACATTGGAATGTATTCCTTGTTGATTCAAAAAACTTGCTATCTATTGGTGGATATAAAGAATTTTGCAAAGAGCTGAATTTTTCATTAATCACTAGATGAGAAATTGATTGTATGGGTACCTGAAATGCACCTAAATAGATCTTTTTTCTTTAAACAGAACCTTTTATTGTGCTTCATTCAAAAGATAGTCCAATAAAGATGATCTAAAAGAAGTTCAAACAAATTCGATACAGCCGTTTTTTTTTAACAAAGAAACTTAAACTTTTTTAATAAAGAAAATAAATTGAGTAAAAAGCAATTTGCAATAGACTCTACTGCAATAAGTTGAATGATCAGTATTATTAAAAAAATTCGATTAATATCAATACAATATTGTTATTGACGACTACATAAGGCTTTCAACAATTTTATGTTGTTTATAACATTTACAGTTTAATTTAAACAATTGAAAAATAGTTTCTGCTTATAGAACGATGTTTATTGCTAGTAGATTCGATCAAGATAAATGAACCAATAATTGTATATTTTTTATAACGAGTGCAGTTTGTTATTAAAAAATTAAAAATAAAAAGTAATAAATATATAAGATATAAATACATGACATTATAACAAAAAACAGTCAATAGGAACGGGAAGATCATCGTGTGGGCACAAAGTGTGCCTAGACCCATTTTTTTAATACCATTTAATTCACTTTATCATAGCTTATTATATTTATCATCAAAAATAAAAGTTAAATTACACTATTGGTCGTTACCTATAAGCTCAAAAATATAAAATTCAAATACTTAAACTGTTAGAATAAGTAATTGAATTTTGTAAACGGATAATTACAGCAATGTATCTATTCATACTTTTGAAAAATAATTTTAAAGTTGCACCAAATATTTCATACTCATGAAAAATAATAGAGAATCATAAGATTCGAGATTCTAACTAGACATTATTGTCAGTGAGATGGTGTTCAATAGAGTCTCGTCAAGTGATTGGTAAAAACTTTTATAATTTGAGCCTAAAAATATTGATTATGTTAGGATCAATTGAAATTGAGTTGATATAATAATGTATTTACATTATTTAATCATTTTCGTTATGTATGAGTATATTATTTATTTGTTATAATTATTTATAATTAACAATTACATTAAATAAAAGATAAAGTTTATAAAATCGTACTAAATAAGTTAATCACAATTGTTTAAAAATTAATACTCAAAAAACTATGAGATATTACAACGTAAGGAAGCACTGCGTACTCATTTATTGAATTTAATCTAATTGCTATGTATTTAGAATAATATTGAATTTATTTTGACTACGTTCTTACATGCAAATCCATTTAAATAAACTACTGATGAATTTTGTTGCAAAAAAAAAATTGAAAAGTTAATCGTTTAGAAGACGCACGTGCATAGTGTTGAAATGTAGGTCACGATATTATAAATTCCAGTTATAGATCTATTCTTCAGTACTCAGTTACATATAATGTATTAATAAATTTGTATTTCGTAATTTAAGTTACCTATCATTACGGATCTCGAGCCATGACTGCAGCCAACTCTTTTACTTGATCTCTATTAGCATGCATAAACGCTTTCGCAGTCCAAATCATGTCAGCCAATATTTCGTCGTTCTTCTCATCCATTGCTACTACGCTGGACAATTGAGGATTGAAACGGTAATATGGAATGCCTATCATGGAACACCAAGTTCTTGCACGATCGACGACGCGTCCATCGGCTGCGGTTGCTTGATCGACGAGAAGATTTCCTAAAGCAGAAATTCCTCTGCCGAGTTTCATTGCGTCCCATATACTTTCTGGTCGGAAAACATCAATGTCTTTCAAAGGTGTGACAGGAATTGCTCCAGTACCAAGTGAAACAACTAAAGATAATGGAGTAGCTTCATCATCTCTACCAAGAGCGTTTAATGCTAAGTTGTATTCGTGGATCTCTGTCATGGCATCAAGAGTAGGATTATTAGCAATTAATCCTCCATCAATGAATCGACCAAAGGCTCTAAAGAATGATGGAGCAGCTCCAGTAGCTCTTGCTGCCTTCCACAATAATTGTTCTTCAGGCAATAGAGTTGGCTTAAATTTAGAATTATGTGGAACTTTTAATAGAACACTTGGCGAGTCATAGTTACGAAAGAGATGAAGATCTACAGGTTTTCGATCAGCAAGTACTCCAGTTATCATGAGTTTTGGTGATTTGATGTCTGCCATTACAGTTTCAGCACCAAGACTATCTTTTAAAACTTTTTCTAGATTTTCACTGCTATACGGCCTTGATCCTACGAATGTATCCTGTTTAATACGAAAATAGAGAGCTTGGCATTCTCTTAAATTTTTACCAGCAGCTAAACCAAGAGCCAGGATTCCACCTGTTGACGTTCCCGCAATCCAATCAAAACAGTGGACGATAGATTTTTGCAAAATAGCTTCGATTTCAATTAAAGTTTGAACTAGAACAAGACCACGTATTCCTCCACCATCTAAGCATAATAATCTACCACCTTTTAATTTTTTTGTGCCAAGCGATGCCATTTTTGCCATGCTTGATACATATAGCATCTGATCAAGGACTGTTCTGGGAATTGCAGTCGGTGGTTCTGGTGGAGCTGATCCATTGAATGTTTCACCAAATTTACAGCCCTCATCACAATTTTTCATATTTAAATCACAACGTCGAGCGCCAACGGCATGCAAAATATATAAAATTTTATCTCCTTCACTGCTTTTTATATTAATCAAGTGTCTTGGAGTTTCATTGTTCTTGTTTTTAGCATTAATATCGGCTCCGAAACCAATGAGCATTTGTACAATTGAGATTGATGCACCTTTTTGTACTGCTAAATGTAAAGGTGTATCGCCTTGATGATCCCCAATATTTATACATGCCATGTGGCTTAAAAGTGCGACAACACAATCTAATCGTTTCCTCATCACCATGATATGCAATGCAGTTCTACCATCAAAATTGACTGCATTGATGTTGCAATTCATTTCTATCAATGCATTTACTACCTCATGACTAGATGACCAATGCAGAGGAGTCCCTCCAAACTTCATATCTTCAGCAGATAAAGAGTTGGGTTTATCACTCATAAAATCTCCAACATAACTTGGACCATTTGTTGTGCTTTCTTTCGCTGACATATTAACATCTGCTCCAATCATTAAAAGTGCTTTTACACAATCTGGCTTATCATTTTGGCAAGCAACATGCAGTGGAGTTTGCCCAGTGGCATTGCGACTGTTTAAAATTTTTCGTAAGCTAGCTCCTAATGCAAAAATAATATCTTTACTTGATCCAGCGGCGTAATGATAGACAGTATTTTCATTATGATCTAAATGTTCTAGTGAAGCGCCTTCATTAATCAATAGTTGTACCATTTGAAGATTATTGTTTTGAATAGCTACTTGAAGAGGTGATGCTCCAGTAGCACTATCTCCTACATTTAATTTCTCTTTGATTACAACATTTTTAAATGCATCATAGAGTGATAAATGTGCTGCTAAATGTGCTGGTGTCCAAGTTGGATGTTTAGTAACTGTGTCACATAATTTTTGAAGCTTGGTTGTGTTATATAGTTCTTTAGATGATTGTACTAGTATTGGAACTTCATCTTTGTAAACAGTAAATTTTATTTCTGCCATCTCAAGATCATCCGATCGGAATAGACTGAATGCTTGTGACAAAGTTTCTTGACATGGCCTATGAAAGACAATTTCATATTTGTCATGATAACGATCACCTGGTCCATACAACATAATCCCATCTTCTCGACAATGAATGTGACGATTACTATACTCGTCAGGCCGAACTTCCAACACTACATTAGGATCGGTGTTTCCAAAGACAATGTTCCGGAAAACGTTGTTAGCAATATCTCCTAACCATGCCATGATGATCAATTTATGTAGTACTATGATGCCATGATGATCAATTGATATAATCTCAAATTGATAATGCGCAACTTTGAATGACTCATCTAGAAAAATTATGTAAGTTGACATTGATCGTTTGCTCAATGAACTTTGATTTTGGTTATGATATGGTTATGATCATAGAAAATTTCATAAATACCTGATAATATTCAATGTTATTTCATAACAGAGTCGTTCATTGGTGACTAGATTGCTTAAAATATTAATATATATGCTAGTTGATGGATGTCACTATTTACTGACAGTAAAAACAAATTAAAACTTAATTAAAAAATTCTACTTATTTACTCAAGTCAGCTGTAGTCTTAGTCACTATTTTATCTAGTGAATTATGTATTCTCTTGATGACAAAAGTTTAGCAAAGTTCTATAAACTTATCTAGATGGCATTGAATGTAAAATCGAGGTATCTGTTGTTGGTAATTTACCTTGTATCCTTACGTGGGAGTAAAAAATTAATACAGCATTCAAAGTGAAATTAATCGATCCGTCTGATATAAAATATTCAACATAACATTAATAAAGAATTTCTCTAAGTGCGTTCATAAATAATTACCACCTCAATGAATGAACTATAGATCAATTAAAAAGTGCCTTAATCATTCCTCATTATCAAAAGGCAATTATATCCAACATTAATGGTTTTGACAGTTGGTGAAATGAAAAGTGTATTGAAAATATCGAGAGGAGTTTAAAGTAGAACATGGTCGATTTTTATTAGTAATACATTATAATTGGAAAATGAGATTTTCATCATGTAGTTGAAAGGATGAAGTATTAGGTGGCTTTCAAGAGAGCTAGGAAGCATGGTACTGTGGTATGCAGTGGGTTACAGGCGCGGGCGAACGAGAGGATACTTGGTCTTCGTGGGTGGCAAATGGTTGCGTCGGCGCATTTCGAACCCCGCCCTTGTGCGAGGCTGCTCCTGCGAAGAAATGATAGTCGTGTTTCAACTCGCGATTCGCGTGGCCTGACTGTGGGAAACTCGACTTTAGTCTTGGCAGCTCATTATTATACTGTTAAGTGTTAAATACTGTTTCGAAAAATATATCCACTATTTATTTTCCCGCTTGTATTAATGCGGTCATATATTATATACATTGTTATTTAGATAGAATATTTTTATGCACAATAAAAAAAAATAACTTCATAATATATATATGTATTACATATATATATATATATATATATTATATGTAGACGATAAATATAATAAAATTGGCACGATACCAAATAAATCATTCTAATTAGTGATTTATTAAAATCAGTGAAAATAATGATTAATTCATTTTATTACCAAAATTTGCTACACCATGTATTATTGTAGGTAGTTGAAATTGTGAACAAAAAGAAAAAAAATACTTACCACAGTACAATAAAATCAAGTGCAAAGAATTGAGTACATATATAAATCATTTAATCGATCCTATTAATTTTATGACGAGGTGTTAACGTAATTATTATTTTTTTTCTGTAAAGGTGACATGTCAATTATAATGAACAAACAAATTATTGATTACTATATCATAAAGTTGGAGGAAGAATAATAGAATTATACAATTATTTTCGAATAATTTAACACTCATTTAATTGATTGATATATATGTATATTTCTATTCTATACATATACATATATATTTCACCCTTATGACCTCTAAATTATGTACGAGATACTTATCAAGTTATATAATTAAGCGGCCTATATGGTTATCAAAATAAAAAAATCAAACATTTCTACAATTTTTCAAGAAATAAAAGAAAAAACCGGACTGGAGAAATGTTCGTGAGCGCTTCGATAAAATCACTTAAACGATCTATAACAGTGATTACTCAATCGTATGAGAATTTACCAAATGTGTATGAAGCTTGAATATGTCTTAAGTATAGGAATTGCATTGCCATGAAGATTATGAGGAGAATAATAAGTTTACACTATATATCTCCATGCACGTGTAGGAACGATGATGCGCATGATTAAGAACAAGCGCGACTGCTAAAAGTATTACGTAAAACAATATCATATATATTTATATATTGGATCTCTGTCGAATTAAATTACAAAACGAAAAAGAAGGATCACCCAACTTTGCAGGTATTACCTAATTTTGAAATAGGATAAAGGTGATGCGTGGCAGCAGTTCAGAGTTATTGCTGGACGCAAGCAGTCAAAGTCAAGCCACCAATCCATACAAATACGAAAAACAAGAGCAGGCAGAGTTACGTCGTCGCAAACTGTTGGAACTCGGGTTCGGCGCTAGGCGCCAACCGCTACGGCGAACTTGCCGTCAGCGGTTTAATTTCTACGCTACTTCAGCATTAGCATTTGTTGCCACATCTGGTGGTGCTGCGCTGCTTTTTCTAGTTCCTCTGTATGTTGATCCAGCAATCAGTACACTAGCTGCTGATTTTTCACCTGAACCGGTCATTTGTACCACAATCCGTCGTGAAGATATTCTTGGCCTCTTCAACTGCACTTGGAGCTCCTGTCGTGAAGGCTGTACCAGCGATGTTTACAGATGTACCCACATATACGTTTCATACACTCCATGGACCAATAATACTAATAGAACACTTTCGTGGACAAGTGATTTGGGAATTGGTGATAAAAGCACTTCCAACACAACAATTCAATCACCTGTTACTGGTCAGTTTTCGTTATCAATTATTCAGTTACCTTTTACCCTGCTTTATTTACTGTACTGCAGCATTTTATGTACATAGGCTTCTGCTGTGATAATCATCACATGACATATACATGTTTATTTATGTATTGACATTTAAATATTTTACAGTTTCATCGAATGAGGTCGAAGCGGTTCTTAAGGTGAACATCAAAGGTTGTGGCTATCCCCCTGTAGTCAATTGTGAGAACTTCACGCGTGAGCTTGGATACACGGGTGCTAAATTTCCCTGCCATTATAGTCGCATCAACGGCAGTATAGTGATGGCTAATTACAACCGCGAGGCTCAAGTAGAGACAATAATCCATTTTCTTGCGGCGCCTTTTGTAGTGACACTCGCTACGAGTATTGCACTATGTGTAATGCATTGTGACTGCAGATGCGTGGTACCCTCCCATCGTCAATCGCGTGGAATGAGAAAAATCAGAATAAGCAATCTCAGGTAATATTTATTATATACTATACTTTACGCTAGTTTAATTGCTTTATTTGTATATATTATTTTTTATTTTTTTTATTTTTTAGTATAAAAAGAGATAGAAGTAGAAGATAAAGGCTGAATGTAATGAAGCACCAGGATTCATTTTATTTTTCTGCTAAAATACGATTTGATTATTATCTCAGCTGCCGAGTGTTTTAGGAGTGATTAAATATTTTTTCAAATGATTCAAGATGTTTGAGATATCAGCTTCGCTCAGACTAATTAGAAAAAGGATATTTAACTATAAATAAGAATAATTCATTTGTGAATTATAAGCATATTTTTTTAAGTTTAAAATTAAAATTATTATTATAATTTTTTATAATTGATTAAAATTATTTTTCTAAAGCGATAATTGGGTTAAATGTAAAGATGTAACTATGTATGAAAACTTTTCTAAGAGAATAGGAACAAATTATTAAGTTTTCAAAGTTTTTGGTGCTTTTTTGTATTTAATATTGATGCAGTAGTGTGGGATTTTAAAATGATTAAAAATAATTATTTATTGTATAATGATTTTTTCTGTATTGGTGCTTTTGGAATGCTGTAGGTGGTCTGCGTAAGTGATATTTTTAGTTTGATTTATTAAAAAAATTATAAACCAAAGATATTTTTTATCATTAATAGAACTGTTATCGCAGGAAGTAGAACAGAATGTTTTATTCATCTTATACTCGTTATTGCATGACTTATGGAAGCAAAAAAAGAAAAAATTGAAAGTTACGGAATGCCTTTATACGATTTAATTAATTTCAATATTTTAGATCAGTTAATATTTTTAAAAATGATATTCAAATTTTTGGGACCATCAATAAAAACAATATTTCTCTTAATAGTTCCTTCAAATGAAAGACAATTCAAGAAATATTTCTCTAATGTTTAAAGCATCATTTTATCACAATATGATGTGGGTATAATAAATCAATAATGAATTTGAAAAAAAGAAAAAACAAAATTTTAAATTCATTAATTAATTATTCATAAGCAATTATTGTTGACTTGCTCTCCAATTCGATGACTTATCGGAAAATCAATAGACTACAAAAGAGAAGAGAGAAAAAAAATATAAAAAAATCTAATCAAGTTTCATTGAAATATTTCTCCATTATTCTGTATATGAAAAGCAAGTTAAACGACAATCTACTATCAAAGAATTTCTTGGCAAAAAAAAAGCAACAAAAAGCTTTCATGAAAATTTTACACGAGTAGATTTGAATCATTTTAAGAATATCTCTTATTCATTTCACAAAGAAAATATTAAAGAAAAATTTTTCATGCAAATTTCATGGCACTTTTTAACTTTCGAATAATAAATGACTATCTATCTTTAAATAATAAATAATCAAGAAATGTGCTTGCGCGGGTTTTGTAATTTACTAGTGTGCCATTCATTTAATGTTATATTGTTTTATCAATAATTTTATTTTCATTTCAATTATGTATTTTATTACTCTCTATCAGAATTTTTGCGTATGAAAATATACATTGTATGCTAACTGTGATATTAATCTGTAAAAAGAATAAAACGCTTGGGGAATACTTTATATTTCCCAAGAGAGCGCGATAAAAACCACTGAATTTATTAAAATAAATTTGGTTTATTTGATTTTGACGACTTTTTATTTATTTGCCTTTCGATACTCACATATTTTATTATCATTATTATTACCATAACGATTCTTCTTACTTTATAGCATCAGTGCCCATGAAAATAATGAGCACATAAAATATTTTATATTTATATTTGTCATTAATTTTTATGTTGTTTAAGGAAATTTCATTCCTAGTAATACTTTAATATTTATTACTATGTAGAATATTCTGGTAATGCGTAGTTCAATAGTTAAACAAAAAGCACGTTTTGTCTATTCACGTGCATGTATTACGTATTTAAATAATTTATAACAAACCATGAACTTATACAGTGTATACTTATAGATCTAAAAGTATACGCACTGTAAGAGTCTTTAAAATAAATTCAATGTCTTTAGATATACATGCATCAACAACTGCTTTCTATAAAGACTGTTGATAAATTGTTCATGACCCATTTCTTATTCTTGACCATCGCAATTCCATCGAATGGTCTGTAGGTGACTATTGATAAAATTACCATTACTCTATCATTGATGTTATATTAATAATTGATAAAAACAAACTTTTTTCAATTCTATTTTAATTAAAATATGCATAATTAATTATAATCAACTTGAAAGACGATACTTTGCTAAGTAATCCATGGTTGAAATTAGTTTTCCAGGCTGTTGCCCAGAAATTACTTGCGCAACGGAGTTTAACTTTTGACGATAAGATCGATGAAATAGAACAGTGTTGAGAAAAATTAATTTCCCAAGAGATTACTAGTCTAAAATGTGTGGGGTAAAATGAGGTTCCATGTTATGCCTAATTTTTGCTGAGGGATAAAAATTATTCATATTTTATCAGCATCAATAAAGTAGCTGGTAGATAGGAATACATGGTATGATTAGATGAAATTGGGGATACTAAAAAATTTTTCTCATTTCAGTGATCAATCGATAAGCAATAGAGTGGACCGAAGAGGACATACGGAAGCTCACTGCGACTGCGGGGAAGTAACACGACCATTATGACATAGGGATGAGACGACTGAGAGTGTGCTGGCCACATCTCAGTCGGATCTATAAAAGGAATCCAGTCATTATTTCCAATATGATTAACATGACTTTCTAATGATTTTCGATCTTCCATGGAATTAAAAACTGCAGTGACTATCGATCGAATATTGGATACTTTGAAGCACCAAGATTCGTGCTGATAGAACAAAAAATATAATAATTTAAGAGATAGCTAAGTGAAATGCCATTATTATTTAACGGGTATAAAAATAGAAATAAATAAATAACAGGATAGAATTGAATCAAAATAAGTAGGATAACATGAATTAATGTGGTTAGCAGTTGACTGTTCGTTAACGTGCTTTATACATTTGTGGACGTATCACTATATAATCGCACTCGAGCTTCAAGAGTGCAGTGCTGCACCGGTATTGATTGATACAATAATAATGATGGTAAGGGTCGACGTTTATTACGCTACATATTAATGCTCTTATCATCATTATGTATGATTCGAAATAATGAATAAATTGATTAATGCAGTACACATATATAGATTATAAGAAAAATGAAAAACAATATCATGTAGTTTTGTTCTTCATATCTTTATCAACGAAACGATGAAATAGCAGATATATATTCGTATGTATACATATATCTTGTAAATCTAATCACCATTTGTGAATTTCAATAAGTTAGAGGAACTATTTTGAAATAGAGCCAGTGGTGTTCAACAACATATACAACTAAAAAAGCTAATATTTTTCAACATTTAGGTTACTACTTTTTGCGTTTTACAAATATTCACTGATTAGTTTTTTAAGAATAATGTTAATCTTTGGATGGAATTATTGGAGTGGTGTACTGAGATAAATATTTAGCTTTTTATCACAAAAATATGCTTTGTTTAATGTTTATGATAGTTATTTCAATTATTTCGTCTTTGAATGAATATTATTGTTTTTAATTTAACTTATTGTTAAGTGAAATGGAAAAAATTGTTTTTACAGTTGAAGAAATAATTATTATTTTTAAATCTAAATCTTCTCTCAGTACAATGTTATCATTCGATCATTTTTATTTTTTCATTCACTCTAGAAATATTCGTAAAAAATTAAAATGAGTTATTTTTATGAATAGTTGAAATGAGATTAAGACAAAAAAAATTTATAATAATTTTTTTTTTTAATACTTTAATTGCATACATACTCTCCCTAAATCCACTTTTTCATGTAGGGTAGAGTTGAGTCTATATGACTTGGAGCAATATTTCAGTTGAAAAATATTTGTTCTAAAAAAAAAAAAAAAAATGAATAAACTTTATAACAAATGTTTTCTATTCGAAAAAAAAATTTATTCATAGCGATAAGAAATGTTAAACAAACTTAAAATGAAGTTTTAAAACTCAACAATTACCTTTAAGGCAAATTCGAGGTCACCATGACCTACTGTATAGTTTAAATATTAGCCCTTAATACATTTATTTTTCTAAATTAATGATAATTATATTCCAGAGTGAATGGAAAATTAAAATATTCTGATGGAAACAAAACCACCCTAAAAAAAAACCAAAAAATAGCATGTATGTCTTAATTAAAGACCACGATTTGGATTATACTGACAGGGTCACATATAGTTGTAAATAAAAAATAAAACTAGAATATCGCGCTTCCTTAAACGAAAAAACATAAGTATTTATAGTTACAAAAAGAAAAAAAGAATAAATAAAAACGCGATATAATCATATATATATATATATATATATATATTGTCCAAAATTTGGTAAAAAACGAAAAAAAGAACAATTTATCTTGTATACACTCAAAAGAAACCGCCATGTCAGTTTTATGACATTTAAATTTTTTCTTTGATACATTATAAAATTATTAATTATCAAATAGACACTTGGAATGGATTTATTGTAATATGTGTATAATCATATATACAAGTGCAAAAATCAAAATAGAGTGAACTTTAATTGTTGCATTTTTATTTAATAAATAGGACCAAAGAATCTGAGATTAATGAGTTATATAATTTTCTACTCTGTCATGTTGATTATTCTAGAAGTGTGTGCAGTGATTTTCAGTTAATTACAAGAGGCCATTAGATGTAGAGAAAAAAGATGTCATAAAAATTAATTTAAAAATTCCGTTGATGTATCAACTCAGTTATACTTTTAAAACTATTATTCGTGACATGAGCAGGGATTTGTCACAGACGAATAATGCGGCTCAGGTATGACATTAAGCATTCGCTGAATAGAAAGAATTAAGAGTACTATGTCACTTTTCTGTAATTTATTAGAGTACTGGAAGCAGCGCAGAGCACTTGGAAAATGTGACTGGCACAATTCAGGATCGAATATATATTTAATGCAATCTCTTGGTGCATTTCTTTATAGATTAAATTTTCAAATAATTGGATACATTACCATATAATTGAAATAGTGAATATTAGATTAATTTATGATAATTTATCTCAATAAACGTCCGTGCAGAAGTTTTAATGGGATCACCAACGGAATTACACTTGATTGACCAAAATCTAGTGCTTGATGAACACCCATGTATTGGTGATGTATAAACATGTAATAGGGCTATAATATTTAAGAAATATGATATTCATATTTATTGATTTATCATTTGCTTTCTTTTGAAAGAGGTCATTTTTTACGAGGGCGCGTCAAAGCGAGCAAGCCTGCAAGAAAGCTCAGCCTATTGTCACTGTTACAATCAGCTTTGACCTCGATTATTTGCATTAGTATTAGCAACCAACATCGACCGTTATCAGCATTGTACATGCACGTATGTTGAATCGCAATAGTATGGGTCAGAGTACATTATGGGGAATGAGAAGATATCACGTCAGCAGAGACTACTTAGAATTCGGGTGGTTGTCACGCTCATGAAAGGCATGCCATGTCGCATTGGGAATGCTCCCGTTTATTATTTTACATGCTAATTTTTGATTTACATTTTTTACAATATCACGAAATGAGATTATAAATTTCAGCTTTTTTTTTCATTTTTATCTATTGATGACATTTTTAACTTTGTATCACGATGGAATCACTTTTTTCGTGCATTTTTTTCCGCAACTTTCAAACTTGAGGATGAATTAAAATTTTTTTCTCGATGAAGAGATTCTGAATATCGATTTTTTTTATCGTCGTTAGTTTGATGTTCTAGTTTTTTGCATCGTATGCACACAAAACTATCTATCACGCATACACAACTGGTGTAGATCGTTCATATTATCGACGGCCACGAGCTCTGTCAGCCATGGTTGTTATTATCAACGTCCTATAGGCTCGATCAAGTGTAAAGAAAAGTTCTATCATGGAAATGGGTAGTTCGTGAATTGTTTACTCATTTACCTCATATACGTCAATCAACAGAGGTGAGATTTTTATTGTCATCTTTGATTTTATTTCCATCCATTGTTCTTGATACCTTTTTAAATGCAATTCTTCTCAAATTATAATTATGACAATATCATAACATCATCAAATTCTGTATAGCTTTTCATCACGTCCTTATATAAAGAATGGGCTGCTATAAAGTGTTTGCACGCGAGAAACGTGCAACTATTATACAAACGGAATACAGCTATGAATCTTTTCTGACTAATTGCACCACTCATTAACTACCCTTGTGACGTGCTAAGAAAACTTGTGTCTTTATAATGATGATTTAAAAATATATATTTCTGTACATGTATCTCACATACACACACTACTGACTGAAACTGACAAAAAATAAAATAAAAAATTATGAAATATTGGATGGTTTTTGTTCACGTTTCTTCATAAATGAAATGTCAGATACATATCGACAACTACTCCAGTTCAGATCCTCTAATCAAAACTGCTGTCCTTTGATATTCAAAGATTACATCTTAAATTTGAAAAAAAAAAGTTGTGACCTGATTACAAGACTCTCCAATTTGTGCTGAAACAATAAAGATATACGAGCTGTATTGTACCAAATCATCAAGCTCTTAATACTGCCGATTGTAGAGATATTAATTATACTAGTGAATAAATATAAAAAGTAATATCAGCGGGTAAGTTATGAAGAAACTCAATTAATGTTTCAAGGTAAAAGCAAGCAGGAATTTAAGTAAGCTTTCAAGGATTTACAGAAAGCGCTTCCTTATTCATGATAATTATCATCGTATTTAATGAATTTTCTTTTTTAACATTGTGAGTTTATATAATATGTTGAAGTAATAATTATAATAAATTGATGTGGAATTAATAATAATTAGATTAATAGAATGATTGATGAAATTATACAATAACTCATTCATTATTCTATATTGCTTTCGACGGGATAGTGATTGAGCACCATTTTGTTGATAACATTTATAGATATTCAGTTTTTTTATATATATACTTTATTCTGCTTTCAATTCATTCACTTATTAACAAAAGGTAATTTCACACAATCGCAATATATGTCGAATGATGTTTCTTTTTTTTTCCTTTTTAGAATAACTCTCGTCTAGATTTGACATCAATAATTTTCTCAACTATGATAAGTATTCATTTTATATAAACAATAATAATTTTAAATTGTTAATTTCTTACTAGATTATCAATTTTTATATGTGATGGTATGGCAATTAGCGTGGAATCAATTGTTATAAACTTCAGTACCGTTAAATGATACACAATCACACTTTTTTATCTAATTAATTATCTAAATTTCTTAATACAGTAAGTGTGGTGAAATTATTTTCTTTAAGTCTTGTGAAACAAGTTGTAATGTAAAAAATATTGCACGTCACTTCAAGCAAAATCTCCACGCAATTTATCGTCACACCACCATAATATCAGGCACTCCGCAGATAATATATACCACAATCAATATACACTTATAAATTATTTTTTATTTTTTATGAGGTAAATGATCGTAATTATGTCACTGCTTGTAGCTTCATCACAGCCTTTATTAATAAAAGATGAAGCTATTAATTAGCAATGATAATGTACTGTAAAAACGTGCGCTTGGATATTAATACTTTTTTTTTCAATTCATTACAAAAGAATATTTATAACAAAGGTTTGAGAAAATTAATTTTAAATTTGTATGTCTATTTTTTTCTTTACTTTTACGTAATACTTGTAAAACTATTTTAAATATTTCAGTTAATATTTTTTCCAAAAAACCTATTTTCGTTGAAAGTACAATACAGTTATTATTTAATTATTCTTTCAAAATAAAAAATATTTATTTTATGCCATTTTTATATTAGATTTGTCTTTGTATTGTTCAATCATTTATTTATTCTGCATAAATCATTGTATTTTTTGGAAATCTGGGGTATACATTCGTTATGTCACTTCCAGTAAAATTGAATGATATTGTTGTCAACTCTTGTCAACAGTGGGTTTGCAATGTTTATTTAAAAAATTGTGATTTTTCATTCGCTCCGATAGTCATTAGTGTAAGCAATCTTGTTTTCTGAATCACTATCTATTTATAGAATATTCTGGTATTCGTTTGCGTATTAAAGTGAGTTTCAATTAAATAAATTGTGAGCTCTATCGATGCAATTATTTTTAAAATAATTAAGCAAAAATAAAAAATTTGCTTGTTGCTATTTCCCATTCCAATATTTAAATTTTACATCCAATTAAAACCTAGTTAAAAATATTTCTTTGTGATCAATAAAAAATGACTTCCAAAATTAAATTTTTTCTCAGTACATATCGACACAAATACAATCATTCAACTTATGATTTATTTATACCACAATGTGAAATATTAATTTTTATAATATCATAATTCATTCGACTGTGTATATTTTCACTCCATACTTCATTATGTTTCATTGAATATTTTACAAAACTTATAAGTAATATAAATGCAAGTATAATTAAACACATGATTTCAGTTTTGTACAAACTTGTTAGGCTTAATAAAAAAAAATATTTGGCAGTAACTGTACAGTTATGTATTCATAACATCGACATGTAATTTGCAACTACCCTGATAATCCAAATCTTGCACTGTTTATTTTCTTGAATAATCATTGTCAGTCGCTCAAAAATCTAGTGATATAATCAATTATAATTATAATAAATTTTTCTACTTTACATTAACGCAACATTTACTCCATTCATTTATTCATTTATTATATTTACAAGCTCCCAATTTTTCATTCATACGCATTATTAGTTTTAGATAAAAATAAATGTCTGACATTAAAAACAATACTTTCTGGCGCTGACTGGCTGCACATGGCTCACTGATAGGGGACGACCCACTTGTGGGACGACCCCTTCGTCTTGTCAGCCATAATAATAACACCCTTTGTTGGATATATTCCTTAAATTTTCTGTCGATAAAATCGTGTGAAGACTATCAGCGCCAATCATGTGATTACCAAGATCAACGCGAACTCCAGCGTGTGGTGGAATTTGATGTATTGGTTCTATTGATACAGGCATCCTGACATCTGGGTAATAGTGATCCGTTCCGTGCAATCGTTCCGCCAATTGAGTCTCAGGAATTCTAGACATTTAGAAATAATAGCATGATTACATTTGCGAATAATTCTTTTTTTCATCTTACTTTTCTACTTTTTTTTCAACTCACCTGGTTTCTTGCATTGGAACCGGAACTGGAGTTGAAAGATCAATATCAGCGTCAATCTCGGAAATTTCATCCGTAAAGCCATTAGGCAAAGTTTCGTTATTATCATGGAATTTGGTGTCTTTTTTTGCTCGATGCCGACTAATTAGGAGTCGACCAATAATAAGACTTAGAAAGACTGTCACTCCTGCAGCTACTGATACTATTATGTATAAGTAAAACTTCTCTTGATTTCCTGTTGATATAAAAGTTTGTTTTAATATATTTCCTTTTTTTATATTCAGTAATGAAGATATCTTAGGCTTATTTATAAGACTAACTTTCAACATTCCGTTAATTGGGGCTAATATAAATATGCCAACTAGTGACCTTGTACTTACTGATAGCTATTGAAAAAATTCAATAAGGATGTATCTATTAATGACCCTGTTCATTCAATCAGCTAGATTATAGATCTAGATGGGGAATTGGGTCAATGAACACGTGAGCATATTTCTTTTATTTGTTTTGCGAATATGAAAAGCTTTCTTGAAATGGGGTGAAAAATATTTACTGAAGTGAACCATTTTTCGAGTGGTTTAATTATTTTGTTAGTAATAAAAGAAAATTTGTGCAATGGTAGTGGTTTAATTTTTTTTTCATAAACTCGTGGCATTATTTTAATTAAAATACTTGACATGTTGGTAACAAATTGTATTAAAAATCATTAAATATTTTTTAGTTTAGAATAATTATTCTTATTTATTCTATTAATTTAACTTCAATAAATAAATAAGAAAAAATCATTTATTTGCTATAAAACTGATATTATATTTTAAAAATAATTTTAGTAAAAATTATAAATTAATAATTAAAGATCTTTAGATAATCTTATGATTTATTAATAATAATTTTTTTTTACTAATTGAATGGAAATCATTACTGAGATCTTCTTTATAATTATTATGCATAAAAATATCTACGAAAATTCACAGACCATCGTAAGACCCTTTACTTTCATGACTTTGAACATCCACGATTGATGAATATAAATACGAAAATTTAAAAATCTGAAGGCCTCTTTGATGGTCTAAAGATGTGCAGAAAGCAGAAATATTCGCATTCATATTAAGAACGAATATTTAAAGACTTTAAATCTTATCTTAGCCCTACTAGGGCTTTTAATGATGTAACCTATTTTTTAAATGAATATTTATATTAATTTAAAGTATGATCATTATTTTTAATACTATTGACTTTTGGGAATTGAAAAAAAACTGAACTTTTATTATTAAAATCCATATTTGTTTTAAAATGTTATTTTTTATTATATTTTTAATGGTAAAATAATTTTGTTTTTCTTTGAAAGTTATATTTTCTTGGATAGACTTGTAATAAAAAAGTATTTTAGTATCTTATAGAACAAAATAAAACTGAAATACAGCAAAGGTGAATAAGTTTCAGTTGGCAATGAGGTTTACTTAAAATATTGTATATAATAAATGAATTTCATACTTTTAAACGGACATAGAGAGTGTATATCCATAAGTAATAACAAGCCATCAAGCTTTATCTTGTTACATATTTCAAATAAGTTTTGCAGATAAGTTATTTCTTTTATTAACAAAATTTTTTTTATACACTTGTTATCTTCTCTATTTTTCGTATAAGCTAGTAAATATGACATTCATTGTACTTGAAAAAAACATAAAATATCTCATTTTTCTATTCATAATAATCATAAAGAAATGTCATCTCAGTTCAATATTACAATAAAAAAAATTTTTTTTATTACTATTAATTTAAATCATAAATTTCTTTTATTTCTTCGTTTTTTGGAATTAAGAAACCTCCAAATCAACTGGATTAATGTAATAAAATACCAAAGTTTCAAAGACACAATGGTCGTTTGACAATTCTTCAATCAAAAAACTTTTTTTGTCTTCAAAGCCTAAAGATTCTTTTTTCAATGAACTTTTCACAAAATTAAAAGGCTCTTAGCTTTTATTAAATCATAAAGTTTTTTAGGTTAAACTATTATGCTCTGTTGTGTTCATACCAGTAATTAATCATGAACAATAGTTTTACAATCCAAATAAATCTCAAAATAAATAAGTTTTTTTTATTTGGTCACTATTTGGAGCATATACCTTACAGCATAAAAATAAAAATCATCAAAATTCTGAACATACGCAAGGATGCAATCAAAAATTCCAGAAAAAAAAACCAGAAAAACATGCATACAATTTATTGCAAGTTTGTACTATCATGGATGCACATCATAACCATCATTTATATACAATCGACGCTCTCTAGAACTCAACTCGTTACAGATTCGATTTTTCTCTGTTAAGTTTTTTTCCCTCTTCAAAGCTATGAATAGTTTTAGATGTATGAAATTTATTTCTTTTAGAGCTTACATTTTTGTGTTAGAAGTTGTGTAGAGCGTCGACAGTATGTGTCTATTTGAAAAAATAACTTTGAATATATATCGTAAATCGGTCACTGAATTCAGCTGATAACGAAAATTCCTGAGGTAATAACAAATTCGTGATATATCCGCGTGGGATGTCCATGGATGATTTATTTGAATAAACTACTTACTTGTAATAAATGAATATACGCTAATCCATTCATTGAGATAGTCAACCATGGCTTGATCCTCTTCAGGTACTGTGAAGATGATGGTTATCATTTGTCATGAATCATTTATTATGTCAATGTCATCTTCAGCTTCGTTAGCTTTTTAAATTATCATTATTACCACCCTCATAACGTCGGTTGACAATATAAAACGCTGTTGAGCGTTATTACCCTACCGACCGAGCCTAATCTTGCTATAGTACCACCTTTCTGATTTCAATTACGTGGTGGGTTACATGTACAACATATGATTATACCAAATAGACTGGTTAAGTTATGCTTCAAAATCTTAAAATTCACATAAATCACGACAAAAAAAAAACAGGAAAGGCATTTAAAATATCTTGAGTATTTTGCTATTCTTAGATCAGCTATAAATATGTAGTTTTTGAAAAGTAGAAGTAAAACAAAACTTGCAAAGCCAATACTTTTAGGTGCTGCTAAAGAATTTATGTCATGCTGTAAAAATTATATTGAACTCGTTTGATATGATGTAGTGGTTGTAGTAAAATTCGATTTTGTCATTATTTTGTTATTTCATTAACATCCACCACTAATTCACCTAGAAACTTATTTACTACATTAACTGTTTTTTCGTTGTAAAAAGCAAGTATGATAATTTTATTATTTGTCTCAGTTTTTGAATAAATGATTTACTTTAGAAATTCGTCTTCAGTTGAATTATTGATTGTTAGGAAATTCGTTGCATTTTTAAAATGAAAAAAAAGAAAAAACAAAAAAAAACGTTTAGTTAAACTAAAATAAAATTATTTGAAAAAAGAGAATGAAAACTTGTTTTTACCTACAGAGATGTGCTCAGAGACAAGAGTTTTTTAACTTCTAGAACATTTTTAACTATAAAAAAAGAATTATTCTCATGAGGGAAAAATTTTGATTATGTCAGTGGATAAGTCTCTTCTTTAAGAAAAATTGTGAAAAAAACTTTTTTTTAAAAAAAAAATTCTTTTTTATAATTAAGAGTTAAAGAACTAATTACAACCTTGAATCATATTATTTAGCATTTAATTTTTTCATTGAAATTCTATAATAAATAATACATTTTTTTTATTTCTTGAACGGAAATACTTGAATCAATTGGAAGAGAGTCAAACAAAAGCAAATAAATGAAAAGAGAAGTAAAATTAAATAAATCGTTAATTGAAAAAACAACATAATTTCGATAATTGAATTGAACTGTTCAAATGAAATTGGTATGTACATTTAATATGTAAAGAATTTGGTTTTTTTTTTTATTAATTATAGAGTCAAAATTAATTGTTGGATCACTTGTAACATGATAGCATAATTAAATTGAAGTAATTTGAATTAAAAAAATTAAATAATTAAATAAATCAGAAATGAGTTTAAATAATTACAAATGACTAATTTATGCCTTCAGCAATTTAATTGCTTCCAACATTTTTAATTTTATTTTTTCCTTTTCCATAAAATAATTATTATTATCATAAATAAAAATTAATACAGAAATTTAACTACCTTCTGTGCAAGAAAATATAGTTTTTCGATAAAAATTAAATGTTATCTTGTGCAAGAATAAACACGAATAATACATATTTGGAGCATGTTTTTCTGAAATTAAAAAACTCTTTTTCATATTCATAAAATTTATGATAGGAAATATTTATTGAAAAACAATGTTAACCTTTAATCTATGTTATTTTATACACTTTTAATGAAAGAGTGTTAAAATTGTTATAGTAAATGTATATATAACTTTTTAAAAACGAATAATTCTATCATATTAAAGTGAGAACACAAATGCAGGTCAAAAAATAGATCCGTCGCTCAGTTAGTTTTGGACGTTACTGAAACACAATAGCTTATACTTTCGGTAATTTAATGCTCCATTAATTGACCACAATAAATTTTGGATAATTAATGAACTTGATATCAAATGCGGTTTGCATAATGTAATTGACATCATATCAAACGAATTGTTTTGTAATGCATTTAAAACTAATTTATAACATCCGTATTTTGCTGACTAAACGTTCACATTAAATAAAATACAAGAGTATTTTATTTTCGTTCAATTAACCAATTAAATGGTACTTACTGTCATTGTTGGTCCGTGCACGAGGTAAGGATGAGTCTACAGTTGTAGAATCGATCGTTTCGTTGTCTCTAGGTGGAGGTTCAGGATTTTCTAAATTCGGACTTGGACTAAACTCTGTTTTAAAGTCCGTTCTATCGAATCCTTCGTCAAACTCGGGTACAAGATCCACTTCATCCGGCTCTAGATCTCCGACAAATTGCTCTCTCAAAACACTCCGTGGAACTGTATGCATAGAAACAATAGTAACTTTGTTTAAGTGTAAGCTAAACAACGTTAACACCCAATGGGCATTAGTTAGGTTTTATTCATTCTTTATAACTTCATATGTAGGACAAATTTCAGTCATGTTAAATAGCTTCGTAGGGCAATTTCCGGAGAAGCACGCCACTTCTCGTTAATGCAATATCGAATGCTCGCTAGCATTGACGAACCTGTCACTCACGTCATTTTAATCCTGTTTAATATATGCTTAAATTTTCAATGAAATTATTTTATTTGGCAAAATTACATAATCATTTCTCATATCAATTTTGAATACATTCTATTTCCTTCTGACAAATGCATGAATAATACAACGTTATTTAATTTCAGTTACTGGATAGAAAAAGAGCTTCAGATCAAATGGGAATCAATCGTTTTTGTATAATTTGTATTTCTGTTGAATACATAAAGAATAATTTAATGTAACAAGTATTGTTTAAGTATCACTGTAAATTGTGGTGATTTATTTCAATGCACTAAAAGTGTTTTAATATTATGTCACCCATTTTATTAACATTTTAATCACTTTTTCAATACTTTCAAATGCATTAAAAGTAATAGAACAACTTTAATATATTGAAATAAAATTCTACGATTTGCAGTATACAAAAAAATGTTTTATTTATGATTACGTACTTTTATGATTTTGATGCTGCTAAATAAGCATCAAATAACAGAATTATCATGTTAAAATTGATAAAAACCTTAGAAAATAGTCGAAATAAATTTATTTTTGTTAATAAGCCGACAATGATTTTACATTGGGTCATAGACTCCTTTTTCAGAATGATATATTTTTTTATTATCTTTTATTATTATTATTTAAAGTCAACATGCAAACAAAGATGCATCGGAATAGTTTCATTACATTATTCTGAGCACAGACGAATTGAATTTACCTTCACCAAATATCTAATAGACGGTTTTTATTTAAATCTATAAGATAATATGTATCAAATATCTTCTAATGGGCTTTGCCCACTATGGAGTAAAATATGATTTACTACAATAGAATAATTTCTCTTATCAGAAACTACACAATTAATTCTAGGTAAGAAGAAATATTTTTATTTTAATTTTTAAAAGTATTAAATTTAAAATATTTATAGTATATTAAAAAATCACCCCTAAAGCATATCTAATTCAAACAAACTATAGATTTTAATACATGTTAAAGTAGGAGAAGGTGAGGTAAAATAGAACACCAAGAAAAAACGTAAGTCAACAAATTAACCATTATATTAACATATCCTCATAATTTTTAATGCATTAATAAATTGATAAATTGATGTACAAAAAGTGGAATGAGCGTTTTTAAACTTATTTTGATAAATTAATAAAATTTTCCCTTCTTTCCCCTACGCAAAAAATGGCCTAAAAGTCTACAGGGGAAGAAATTACTTGAAACATATATAGAATTTGTCGCAATATATACACATTTTTTTCTGTATGAGAATTCCATAGTTTTTATATTGTTATGTAACGTGTAATACATTTCATGTATGTTTTTTTTAGCATACTTTGGATTTGCCAAGTTCATTAAGTTTCTTAATGATTTCAATACTGCTACCTACTACTACTACCTATCTATGGTCCTAGTTTGGCTTTGCTGTTGGGCCTATGTAAATGTTTAAATAAATAAATACTGGACTAAGGTTGGTCAAATTACTTTTGTGCTAGATCCAAAAATTGACTAGGCTTGTCATCTTTTAGGGTTGTTAAAAAACATAATCTGGTAATTGTTGATTGTAAATAGTAGAAATACTTTAGCAATTATGTATTACACTCTTGTGTAATTAAAAGTATAAACTTCCAGGTTTTGTCTTTGATAGCTAAAAAAATAACATTAATCATTGAATTACACGTTATTGTTCGATTAAGAAATATCATTTTTAAAAACGAAATGTCTTAGTGTTGCAGCTTCATTTCAAGCTTCTTGCCCAGATTTTGACGAGTATCGTTCATCAGTATCATAATATACAACATCAAGTATGACAATTAATAGAATGAGTTTGATGTACATTCTTAGTGAATATTGTGCTATCGTTAATTTTATTCAAACTAAGTTCAAAGGATCCACTGGATCACAGCTTTTACATATGTTTGAAGATACAGTGGGAAAGATAATTTTGAATAAAGCTAGTGAAACAAACTCTACATTGTAAATATCATAATAAAAAACAGAAATAAGATACTTATATCGAAAAAGATATTCCATTTATAATAACAAAATATTCAAAACGGATTTCAAATAACTTTCACTACCATTCTTAGAAACAAAAACAGAAAAAATGTTTTAATTCTTTAATGAAACCAAAAGGTACATTAAATAATGTTGAAAAATTGATTATGCAACAAAATATGATATTAACTGTTATATTTCAAAACAGTTGATATGTAAGTTATGAGAATGTAAGAAAATTAACCAGTCAATTAGGAATTCTGGAAAATCAGATTCTATTATGGTATCAAAATATATACAATGAAAACAAGTAAGCATTTCCTTATTAATTAACAGTCAACTTCCCATCAGGAACTTATTGTAATGGAGACGTTTTTTGAATTTCGTAATTTAATCATATCTTTACGTTTGGAGACATTTGAAAGCATATTAGAAGGTTTAAACATGGACGTATATACGTATGTCCGTGCGTGCATATGTCAGGTTTTGTTTCGTTTTCGATATCTCGAGAACAACTGAAAATATCAACTCCGGATGAATTTCATTTTAAAGATAAATTGGAAATAATGAAGAACTTGACGATGCATATAAAATAACATTTGTAGATCCATTTCTTCCTATTAAAGAAATAAATTCACATACTTAATTTGTGCTACATTATGTATTATTGACTTATAAAAACGAACTTGCTGTATTTATACTTATATAAATTTAATTGTTTATTAAAGAATTTGGAGCAATATTCATAAAAATCCAAAAATATAAACTATACATATAATAAAATGAAATAAAAATACAAAACTACAAGGGTAATTATCCAAATATCCTCCCCCCGCCCATCCTGTTCAAACAGTTTCGTATTGGCACGTTTTTTCAGAAAAAAGGAATTTCTTCTTGCAACCAGGCTTCCGTCTTTCCTCATACAGCCTTAAATTTAAGTTAATTTAATAAATCGCTAAATTAGCAAATGAAACTGGGAGATATATTTTAGATATTTACCAATACAAGAAGATAAAAAAAAATAAAGAAATTGTAATATTTTGAATATATAGAATCATGTGAAAGGATCGTACTGCTTTTGTCGTCAGCTTTTGAAGTCTTTTATTTGTTACATATAAGTTATATGTAATCTCTATCTTTCTCTTCAGTGTTAATTACAAAACCAATTAAACAACCTGGTCCAACATTGAATAAAAGATAACGAAGTTGGCTCACTGATAGATATGTAAATAATCGACCAGTTTCCTTTGAAAAAATTGTCAATTTATTATTTCATTCATTTCAATAATTTGCAATCATTGAAAACCTTTGCTTTTATCTTCAAACATTTTTTCCCAAGTGTTTTAAATAAATAGGCTGAAATAAAAAGAAAAGATTATGATTTCGTCCATAATTCTACTTCCAGATGATTGCTTTTAAGTTTCCAATGATCATTTTATCACAAACTGTGTTGAAAAGAATAGAAATATTGGTGATTTAACCGTTAACATTATCCTAAAAATTCAGAGATCAATATTCATTTCTGTTCAAATTAACTGCACTTAAATGCAACGAAAGATAAGAATGAAACTAGAATTATTTCAAAAATAAAACAAAAGATATCTTCATAATTCACTAAAGTTTTATAGCAGAAAAAAAATCTTACCCAGTAAATTTAAGTTAAAAAAAGTTTCGAATATATCTGCAGTCTATTTTCTTTTATTTGTAAATAATTATTTAAGTGTCAGGATCGATCTCATAAGATACACTATTTTTTCTTTTTCAAGATAAACAAACTTTATTACGTGCAAACAGAATGCAATTCTTGGTTCCTTGAATACAATGGCATGTCATGTTAGGATAATTTCTGTGCTATGTCTATATCGCATGATAACATTCCTTTAATAAAATACCATTTAAGATAAAGAACAAAATTCTAGTGAATTTCATTTTATTTTTTAAATCGCGTGTAAAGTAATAATTTAATTTTTTATGAAAAAGTGAGCTTTTAAATTTAAATAAAATGCCTACTTGGATAATTTTTAATGTGAATGCTTTTTCTAGTAGCTTTAATACAAACAATTGATTGTTGAAAACAAATATTTAAAAAGTTGTTATTTTTATATAGAAAATGATGTTCGAATATTTAACAAATGCTTCCGAGATGTTCATGAATTTTTTTTTAAGTCACAGTAGTATTTTATCTGATGTATTTATGTCAAGATAAATGTAAAAAATTAAGGAGAACAAGTACATCTATGTAATGAAATGGGCGTTAAGAACTATGGAAGTCGTTTACTGTTATAAATAGAGTAGATCTAATGTTTGTGATCACTTTAAGGATTTCAGTGATACAAAATGAAGGATAACTTACAAGAAAAATGATAAATCAAGATAGGGTTTTTTTTCACGCAATTACCTCCGCGATTTCAAATAAATAAATTATCAATATAAATTTATAAAATAATTATGATTTTATTTTTAGCAATAATAAATAATTGAATAAAATTATTCAAACCAACAATTTTGGAGTGATCAAAAAAAACAATTCCCTTTTGGTATTTATTAATGAAAATGAAGGCTTTTAGCTTCCATCACAATTCGAATGTTCACAAAATAAATTCAGAATTATCCTGACCTAAATTCTCTACACATTCGCAACACAAAAAGAAATACTTTATTACACTAATAATATAAAAATTTATTACAACTTGAGCCACAAAAAAATACCTCACCACTGAGTGATAGAACATTTCCCATTACGCGTTCAAGTTAAAGAACCTTAACTGCAGAAGGATCA